CCACGGAAAAACCCACGCACCCTGCAGAAGACGATCAACCACCCTCACCAGAGCCACACACAGTGGAGCGATCACCAACAGCTGAAAGTCCTCTTACGAAGTTTTCCTTTACTCTTCCTGCGCCTCCTACAGAAGCTTGGCACAGTAACCCAGCCACTCCTGCCGAAATTCCCCCTCATGTTCGCCATTTGCCAGCGGACTTGACTTGGCAGGACAATAATGACCTTCTGAACACACGTAGAGGGTCGCTGCCAATCACCATGTCCACGCCAAGTACAGACACCAACCAGCCGTCTTCCCACTTCCCGGATAGACGCAAGTCTATGGACGTCAGTCTCCTTAGGCTCATGCATCATCCGTTCGCACGCGTTGCAAAGGAGAAGAATGACGCGATCTTTCTCAGGCCGCCCATATCTCCTGCAGGGTCGGGTCAGTCCATGGCCCGTTCACCGTCCGGCCTCGGTGGGCCAAGCATACGTGCAACAAGTTACAGCTCTTCTGCTTCCTACAGCCCTTACACCCGCCCTTCTTTGGCTCATAGAGCGTCAGAGCCCCATGTCTTCACGCCTACTCGCTCCTCCCTTGTACCGGAGATTCGTCCACCATTTCCGTCCTCGCACGTGCCACGCCGGCTCTCGGACAACCGCTTTACAATGAGCTCTAGAGCGCTCCCGTCGCCTATTCCTGGACCCCTGCCAAAGCCTGATTTCCAGTTTGGCGCTCCGACTTCTGGGTCCCCTCCACATGTCTCACCGGATGCAGAATCTCCCGGGAACATGCACGCATGGGCGTTTCCTCGCAACGAGGCAGATCAGGACACGGAGGATTCGTACAGTTCTACTGGATTATCTAGATTCGGCTCGATTGCTAGCATCTGTGGGAGCGACACCAGCGCAACCAGTGCAATTTATTCGGACGTCAGCAGTTGTGTTGGCGTCGATCACTTTGATTCTAATGGCAGGAGAGGGTCTTGGTATGCTGCGCTTTTATGATCGATACGTTCGTTCGCTGATGTTTTTTACGTTACAGTGCATCCAACCTCGAAACGCGTATGTCCGGTTTGAACATGCGGTCCAGCCAAGGATCGCTCAATGAGGCTCACTTAAACGCCGCGTCTTCATTTTCCTACCAACACAGGGAGCACCTGTTATCACAGGAACCAGGGTACTCTTCCCCGGCTTCCACTGTTTCACCCGGCGGAAGTCCACACCCTGGATACAACAAGGACCCTGGCCCTTCGGGTCTGCGAACGAGTGAGGTTTCGTTTGGTTACAATCCTGTAATTAGTCATTTTACCTCAACGTTTCTGATGAGATGCTGATGTGTGGCTACGCAGCTCCCACCTGAAACTAGCGCCAACACCTATCTAAGTCCTACGGAGCCCGCCACAGCAAGCCGCAGGCCCAGTATACCCACCATCCAAGAAGGAGTGCCGCACAATCATATTCAGAACAACATCGAACACAGCTCCTCATATCCCACGCCCGTAGACACGACGGCCCCGTCCAACGCATATCATTTCGGCCCAGAGTCCAACCAATACTCCCATACAGGAAACTATCCACCATTTCCGCGGGATAGCACGTTTCCTCCCACGGAGAACTCATACGCCCAACCTGGGTTGCAGTACCCAGCAGAGAGCAGTTTTGCATTGAGCTCTGCTCCGTCTGCCAATATTGGAATCGGTGGCGGTATGAGCTCGTATGTGCCGCCTCCGGCTGAATACACATTTGCTGTACCTCCTTCAAATAGCGTGGGGCATGGTGGGGAGCGGTTTGGTGCGTATAGCTGAGGCGGCCGTCGACTTTCCTGGACCGCTGTCCATATCTTACCATTCTCATCGTTCGTCCGTCTGGAATTCGCATGTACCATAATTTACTACTGCCTTTGCTCGCTGCTATTATTCCGTGGTCGCTGCAAATTAATTCGGTCGTGGTCTCATGGGTTTTTTCGAACCTGTCGTTTCGTTGTGCCTTATGTCCATCACTTTATTTACTTTTACTTTTTTCAATACTCATACTGATGCACTCAGCACTTGCACTGCCAGCATGTCCCTTTCGTCCCGTTGTCCATCACCCTGTCACTCGTTCGTTAGCTACTCCCCTCTGCTCGTCGTTATCTGGTCATGCTTGCTGTTCTCTGTTTTGTGTCGTCCATCATAGTCCATAGTCTTGTCTTGCCTTTATTTTTTTTAGTTTCTTATCTCCATCTCCATCTCTTTTTTTTGCTCATCCAACACCATCTTTATCCCATCATATTTTCGTCTCGTGCGATTTTGCTCGGGTTTCTGGCTCTACTTAAATTAATGTACTTAGTTTAATCCCTTTGTGAATTCAGTCGCAGCCATCTTGGTGCAATATGTCTTGGGGGATCGACAGGGTCGCGTCGTGTACAGGGGTAGGCCAGGCGATGGCCGCCGTGGCTAGTTTCAGATTACGGAGAAGTTGAAACGAAGACAGGTAGAGACCTGGACGAGACTCTTGAGCCTGTACCCCAATCTTAGAGAAATACTGATATTCGGTTTAAGCAGTGGCCTATCGGACGAAACCCATAAACATATGATGATCATAATCAATTACAGTAAGATGGCAAGATATCAAACGGCCCATAAACCGCAGAACTTGGTTAGAGCTTTGTCCCAGGCGGTCCAGGAAACGAAGGTGTCATCATCGATATCGGAGGGTAAAAGATAGTCTGATTGCCGGATGGACCTGAAGGCGGTTCTCCACCTCTCCCTGTCACCTGTGCATTCCTGTCCATCATCAAACGGTGAAGCTGCGCCCAAAAAATCATTAGAATGATGCCGCATGATGCAGATTGAAATGGAGATAAAATGAATTGATAAGATAACAAGATTGCAAGCGCAACGTACTTGCAGTCGTATGCCGTGAACGGCGTATTTGAGAGAGCCGAGTTCTTCATTCAGACGCATGCTCTCATTCGTGAGCGCGATGTCGTTTCGACGCGCTAAGGAATCGACGGATGTGGATACGGCGGCTATGGAGTCACGTAAGCTACTTAGCGAGCCCTCGAGGGAGGTACTGAGATTAAGAGGTGCAACAGGCGTTAATGGCAGTGTGCGTTGAGACGAGTGTGGATCTACGATCCCGCTGAACGATCGGCGCGATCGGGGATAATTATGGGATTCTTGGAATGCATGTTCGTGTGGGAGTGGGAAGTAGGGTGCGAGCGCGTCGATGTCGTTATGGGCCGTGAGTTCTCCGTGATCTGCGGAGAAAGATGGTTGAACTTGATTGGTAGTGGTTCTGGAGGAGGAAGAAGAAGGACCGGGAGGTGCCGAGAAGAGGTGATCGAAGGCGTTGATGGATGAGGGAGTGATTGGTGGGGTTTGGCTTTGAATGTGTGACCGATACCATGGACCGAGGACATTTGTGAAGGTTTGGATGTCTCTTCGCATCGTCTGGACGACGGATTCGAATGCATAGACTTTTTGTCTGAGAGCGGCATTTTCCGTGTTTAGTGATAATAGTTGAGCACTGTTGATGGAGAAGAATCCTTTCATAGCTTCATATGGACAGGAGAGAACGTGTTCGTCAGAGAGCTGATGCCGGGGACCAGTCCAGGAACAGCCGTTGTTAGCCTGCGTGCATGGAATTTCATAGTCGAGACAGGTGGCAGCGTGCGCTTGTGATTGTGACCTCGGGAACTCCTCGAAGCAGAAACTGCACATTGCAGACTTGGAAGGACACTCCGAGTTGTGAGTCTATCCACGCTTGGGTGAGTAGATTAATAATCAATTGTCATAGACACGAACACTGAGATCGCTGTACTTGATGGTCGTACCACACCCGTCGCACTGCGTCGAGCGGTACACACAAGCGTCTTTATGCTTACCAACATCCTTCCGAAGGATGAGCTTGTCGCATTGCTCTTCCGAACATGGAATCTCAACGTATAGGCAGGTGTCCTTGACATGAGCGGATAATAATTGTCTTTGAAATGTCTGCGTGCATCCGGATACTCGATTAGGGCATTCAATGATGAGTTCATCGACGAGCTGAGGCTGTTATGTCAGTATTTTTCCTGTACTGTGCTAGTACGGATTTCACTCACGTGTTTCACGATTGGATTCGCTGGCGATAGATCGTCAAGTGAAAGCGAGGAGCGGTCGATGGGACATTGCGGGGAGTGTTGTACGGCTACTGCGATACAGTCATGACAGAATGTGTGCAAGCATGTCCGAGCGGTCGTAGGATTTGTGAATGGGGCACTACACGAAGTTGTGTTACAAGAGTTTTGATACAGGTAGTGAGCTTACTGGCAGATGCAGCAGATCTAAACAGAGATTGTGAGAGTGAATTGATATAACGTGGATAGACGCACCAGATTACTATTCGGCTGTTCTACGTAGTCCATCATGGAGATAAATCGAATCAATTAAGTAATGACTTGGAGCAGGAGAAAATGTTTGGCTTTGTTAGGAATGGGAGCTGTTGCCAAATAGACAACTACAAGTGGTCACAACAACCCTTGAGCACCCACACTTGTCCTCATCGCGCCCACAGTGCACATACACACAAGGACTGGCAGCAGTACAAAGAGCAGTACAGGTTCTAGGTTCTACTCCATATGGAAGTAGACCGTAGGAGGTGGGACCGGGAAAGATGACTGTTCCGGAAAGTCTATGTCAATTCAATCATTTACATCAAGGTGCGTTCAACTCTTAAGTCTGTCCACAAAATTTGACCTCTGGATCCCAAGACTCCAACGTGCACCGTCATCTGGCGGTTCTGTCTTTCTATACGGTACCAAGCAGCAGCCCATGTAGGCTAGTAGTGTCTGATGTCATGCACAGCAGCCTCGCGGCCTTGAAGCAGATGAGCGCCAGCAATGTTTGATGTCAGCATGCGCAGTAGCCTCGTGACTTTGAGGCAGATGGAAGCCAATCCGTCCTTTAACCGCGCATTCCACCACCCAGCAGGCTTTTCATAGTCCCGGGATCGTGACAATAGAATATCTATCTCACAATTCTACTTTGCGTGTCACTCGATAACTTGGCCATCTCGCGACCTTTTTTTTAAAGATCCATAAGTCTGGTTTAAACCGTCGTACGTTGTTCCTTGAGACTCGCCAACATGATATTTAACCCTACTCTCAAACACAGCTAGTATCTAGTTTCATTCCAGTACACAGTCGTGTCACGACCATCGTAGATGAATCAGGATCATTGTCAGCATTTTTATCCTATCCCTCTCTTACTCTCTAATCCCATCAGCAGTCCTGTCATCGCTTGAAAGAACTTGGGCGAGGCTGTCTCAAGTCGCTGTCCATGGCGCAGAATATGACTCCCGTGAACGACAACCCCACCCGAAATGTTTGGAAGGGACTCGGGTGGACCTTCTCGACTACATCTACAGGTTGCTAGACAACCGAGGGCAAAATCGACTCATCTGGCTACATGGTACTGCTGGAGTTGGAAAGTCTGCCGTTGCGTTCACTGTAGCTGAAAGGATGAGAAGTCTAAAAATGACAGAGGAGACGAATGTCGAAAAGCGGCTCGCAGGAACATTCTTTTTCTCACAAAAACACACCGAACGCTGCACGACCGCATATTTTTTTGCGACACTTGTCTATCAGCTTGCTAGCAATTTTCCCAGCATCCGGGCGGATGTGAGCAAATCGATCCGCGACAATCCCGCTCTCTTAGATCCCAGCAAGTCTCTCCGCGTCCAGGTGGAGACGCTCTTTCTCCAACCACTCCGTGGGCTTCACCTCAGATTGCGCGGGTGTCAGCCTTTGACTTTTATTGTTGATGCCCTTGATGAGTGCACATCCGAATTTGAGCTTGCCGATCTCATCCTTTCCCTTGCACGGGTTCTTCATGAGCCTGATCTGCCCGCGATCCATATTCTTCTCACGAGTCGCTCGGAATCACATATATGTAGAACCATGGAAAATGAAGAAGTGCGGTCGTTGGTATGCGAGATACCAGCGGCAATCTCTGGAAAGGGCATTGGTAGCATCATCTCATTGGACAGCGCTAACGTCGACAATGACATCTATATCTTCTTGCGGCATTCCTTCGGACAGCTGGGAAGTCGCCATCTTGACTTTCCTCAACCATCGACTGAACAACTTGAGCGACTTGCAAGCCGAGCGGGCGGACGTTTCATTGTAGCGTCTACGATGATGAAGTTTATCGACAACGAAGACAATGATCCCTACGATCAGCTGATGGTGATGCTCGAGCTAACAAGCGAGCTGCTACCAGGAACAGAGGTGTTCAAGTTCTACGATTGTATCCTCTCTACGTGTGCCGACCCTAAGCGGGCATATCTGCACTTGTCTGTCGTTGCTGTTCTCACAGATCCTCTGCCTCTCTCGCAAATCTCGACACTGCTTGGCCCCGGTTTGGGCAAGGATGTCGAGGCAACTCTGATACAGTTGCGGTCTGTCATGGATATCCCTGCAGACAGCACTCTCCCCGTGAATATCTATCATTCCTCCATTCGCGACTATGTTTCAGATACCTTAAATTGCAGCCTCCGTCAAGTACACGATATGCCATCACCTCACTGCCTACTCGCCCATTCCTCTTTCCGCTTGATGATGAAAGGCATTCCAGAAAATGCTGCACTTCTTGATGCCCTCTCGCAATTGGAGGAGCAGAGCTGCGCTATGGAACGCGAGTGCCCCCATGTATTGAAACACTCATTGGCCTTCCTCATTCAACCGCCGGAGCCACTGTCAGTCCTTAGCGCTATTTTATGGCTTCGGGGAGATCGCAGTTCACAATCACAATCTTGGCTAGAGACTGTAGAGGGTCGCAACTGGCTGCAGACCGATGCAGGGCAAATGTGGCTGCTGTGGAGTGAAGCTGGGAAAGACTGGCTGCTGAACACCCGAGCAGGGAAAGACTGGCTACTGCACGGGATTGGGAAAGAAATGTTGGTCGGAAGCGAGGAAGACTGGCTTCAGGATCAAGACGACCAACAAACCTGGGTGCAGGCCCCGGGCAAGCAAGCCTGGGTGCAGATCTCAGGCGAGCGAAGCTGGATGAAGACCCCGAGTGGGCGAGACTGGCTTCAGACCCCGGGTGTAAAAGACTGGCTACAGACTCAAGACGGGCGACACTGGCTCCATACCCCGGGTGGGCAATTCTGGCTCCATACCAGGGACGGTAGAGATTGGCTGCAGACTCCATGTGGGCGAGACTGGCTGCAGACACCGACCTTGGTGGATTGGCGGCAGACCCAGGCAGGGCGAGAATGGCTGCAGACGCAAGGAGCGCAAGATTGGTTGCAGACCCAGGCAGGACGAGAATGGCTGCAGACCACAGGAGGGCGGAACTGGCTGCAGACATTGATAGGGAGAGAATGGCTGCGGACACAGGGAGGGAGAAATTGGCTGGAAGGGCAAGATGTCCAGGCGGCACTGGAGGAATTCTCAAACACACTGGAAGCAATGAACAGGTATATTATCTTGCCAGAAATGCGTTTACTGCCAGCTTTCCAAGTCATCCAGCAGTTCAAGAACTTGCCGGATTTTTTGATGTTTCCAATGTTCCTGGCCTTAAGACGCCATCATTCTACCTCTGCATCACCAAGTCTTTTTCCAATAGACGAGGAGATCATGCATGCTATGTATACCTTTACGACATTCGCAGACGAAGCACTGGAACGGAGTCGATCAGCCTCCGAGGCTCTCAAGTATGCTTGTCGAAACTGGGCTGTCCATCTCTCGCGAGCTCCACGTCCATGGGATAACAAGCTTGATCATATATTCCATGCTTTCTGGAATCGTCGCCTCCTTTCTTGGCTTGAACTGCAGTGGTGTTTGAAAGGTCTGCAGTCTTGCCTCGCTATTTTATCTGAAGGACAGAAACTTGCAAAGGTCTGTATTTCTAATCATTCTTGCCACTCCGATCCTGGAAACTAATATTACTTCATTCTATGTCCACTGTCTTATCCTCATCCTGGACCCCATTCACGTGCAGCCCAATACAGTACAACCTGCTATTGTTCCTGACCCCAAAACGTCGACAATGCAATCATCAACACCCCCGCCCACCTCCGAAATGTTGAAGAAGGAACCGTCATCTCCCATACTTACTCCTCCCTCAGGGCTTGTCGGAACCCCACACGTATGTGTAACTCACCAACACACCTCGTGGCGTCCTCCCTCTAGTCCACCATTTACACCACCCTTACCACATTCTCCTTCTCTGGAACTAGAAATTGCTGTGTCTCATACTGGCGCATCCAGAAAGCGCACGCTAGATGAACTTGGGCTTGATAGTGACATCCCATTCGAATATGTTGCCACCCTTACGCCCACAAAACGCCTGAAACGAGACAGTCAGAGCGTACAGCCAGAGTGAATACACACTTCTATCGAGATTTTCTCCGCGAGCGTGCAACGTTAAAAAGCCCGTTTGCACTACCAAGTCGTTCCTGCGAGAGCGTCCTAGGAAGTTTATCTCATCTTCTTAGCGCGCCATTCATCAGCAAACTACAACTTTCCCCACAGAAGGCACACGACTTATGTTCCCACGACAGCTGATCACAGATTTCACAGTTCCGCCAAGAGTCACAGCAAATAGTACCACAAGGTATACATTTATTACAATCACTCACAGTTTGACATGACTCACAGGACTTTGCATTTGAAAGTCGAAGGAGTCCGAGTTTGAATAGCTACTAGTAGTAAGTCATATATACTAGTACTAGTAATACCATAGAAATGCGAACTCGATCTTTTATTTCGGACTATGGATGGACTTCGGACAATGCAAAATTACATTCAAACACCGAGATAACAACATGAGCATAAACATTGTATGAACTGTAAGGAAAACACATAGTACTAATAGTGCTACTAGTAGTACACGAGGCGAATATCATAATGTGACATATAGTAGTGCAAACCGTCCATGACAAACAGGTCAGTCAAGCTGGATAGTGAGAGCGCGGCCACTTGGACCTTCTGTCGTAGCAGATGATGAATTTTCTGCACTTAATAAATACGATTGCTTTCTCTCACAGATCATAAACTTACCGGCACGCTGATGATCACTTTCGCGTTGTCTTGCAGATAAATGAGACCAGCCATGCTGTTTGAAGGCAAGTCTCATGCACCCCAGGCCCATGTCTGCATCGTCTAGCGTCTTCCCCGCGACATCTACTCGAAATCTGAGCAAGCTCGATAATACTTCGCTTTCCTGTAGTAAACACTCTGCAAGTGCCTTTTGTGCCCGAAATACTTCACACTTGGCTCGTGCGAGGTCCATAACAAGTTTCACTTCAGAATTAGTTGGACTCTGTATCGACTGATGAAATTTTAGGTGCCTTCAAGAAATGAGAAATGTAGAATTGACTTTACCAAGGAACTAATAGCTTCAAGAAGCTCATAAAAGTCCATCCCGCGTGTCCCTGGTCTCACATCATCATGGTGCTGAAGAATGTCGTCAGCCAGACCTGACGCTTTTGTCGATAATGCGCGCAGATTGATAGTCATTGTGTATTGAGAGATAGTTTCGGGAAATGCCGGTATTAGTATCAGCCATATTACTGAAGTGTGTTTCTTACTAGGCTGACCGTCTTACTAGTATGTCTCATCATGATTCCAGCTGCCCCTCATGCGGCAAAATCTTCAAAGACCACACTTCCGTTGCTTGTCATATGAGCCAGCCTCGGTCCGGATGCAACACGTGGTTAGAGGATATGATCAACACCATTTCACCCAGTGAAGATCATAACATGGACTCTGCGGACGACAAGGACTTTGCTGGACTTCCTCGTGATGTTTCTTACGACCCGGGACTTGGAGGCGAGGAAGATTTTCATTATTTCGGTGGAGGAGGAGAGGACATCCCTGATGGAAATGAAGTGCACGCCGGTGAAGTAATCGACTACTTTCCAGAGCCTCCTCTGGCCTATGAGGACGGCTACACATTTCTGGGGCTGTTTGATGCAGATGAAAACAGCGTATATCGGAAAACGAACCTCTATTATCCATTTAGCAGTCGACGAGATTGGCAACTTGCAGCATGGGGAAGATCGACTCTTTTCTATCACTTGAAATGGTCAGTTTGTCTACTTCACTTTCACTGCTAATGATTCACGTCTTTTTAGATCAAGGATTTACCCTTGTCATTCCGCTCCGCCAGAGAACTACGCGGTCGAGCTGAGATGCTGCCCAGTGGTCCGCGCTGGAAGTCTCAAGTTATCAATACATCGCATCCTACAAAGTCACCAGTAATTCTGTACTGGCGTGACCCTATTGAATGTATCGCCAGCATCTTTAATCACCCACTATTTCACCGTCATATGGATCTCACGCCTTGCAAGATTTACTCTACTGCAGAGAGACTATGTCGTGTATACACCGGATGGATGTCAGGAAACCATGCATGGGATATGCAGGTGAGTATATAGTCGAATATTGAGGTCTGGCACTCATGTATTCTTAAAGTCAGCGATACCCAAGGGTGCAACCCTCCTTGGCACCATTCTCTCCTCTGACAAGACGAACATCACTGCATTAACGGGGGATCGCGTAGCTCATCCGCTCCTAATTAGCCTCTCCAACATCCATATGAATGTACACTTAAAATCCTCAACCAACTCTTTCGTTCTCGCTGCCCTGTTACCAGTCCCCAAGTTCATTCACAAGAAAAAGCGAATGAAGGGCGTGTTGGAGGATCGCCTTATACATCAATGCCTCAATATCGTTCTTGAGCCGCTCAAGCAAGCCGCTTGACATGGTGTCATGCTGTCTGATCCTATCGGATGCAGTCGGTATTGCTTCACTGCTCTCGCAAGCTATATCGCTGACACCCCTGAGGCCATGATGCTGGCAGCCGTTGGTGGAAAAACGTCGCCGGTGACGATGGCAATGTATAAGCAGTTTGGGGATGCATTCCGTCATGAACCCCGGACGAAATCAACGATGATTGCACAGCTCGCTGTTGTGCGCTCATGTGCTGATCCTAATGATATCGAGGCATATTTCCGTGAGGCACAGAAATTCCGACTGAATGGCGTCGACAAACCGTTCTGGTGGGACTATGCACTAGCAGACCCCTCCCGGTTTCTTACACTGGAATCACTCCATCATCTTCATAAAGAATTCTTTGACCATGACGCCCAATGGCTCATTTGCGCTGTTGGAGATTCTGAAATAGACTTCCGATTCTCAGTGTTACAGCCCATCACCGGTTATCGACACTTTTACGGTGGCATCTCCAAACTAAAACAAGTCACTGGTCGCTGTGAACGAGAAATTCAATGTTATATCATCGCTATCAGTGCGGATGCAGCACCTCCTCGTGTCATCGCTGCTGTACGTGCACTTATGCAGTTCCGGTATCTCATACAGTCGCCACGTATTGACGAGGAAGATCTTGGGCGCATCTCAGGTGCTCTAACTGAGTTCCACACGAACAAGGATGCAATCCTTGCTGCTGGGGCTCGTCGGGGGAAGGGCAATAGACACATCGACAACTTTTATATCCCCAAGCTGGAGCTAATGCAGAGTATCATTCCCAGCATTCGCAACTCTGGCGTCATAGGACAGTGGTCTGCTGACATCACTGAACACGCTCACATTACAGAGATCAAAGATCCCGCCAGATCAAGCAATAACAACAATTACGACACACAAATTTGTTGACACCTCGACCGTGCTGAAAAATGTCGTCGTTTTGAGCTCGCCACTAGCCTTCTGGATCACGGACAGAGGGGTGAGGAAGAGGGGTTGGACTTGGATACTGAAGATAGCGATATTGAAGCTGATGTTGAGACAGAAGATGTTCCTATCGACCCGACTCAACACCCACGCCAAACTACAAATTATTTTGCGATTGCAAAGGCGCTTCAGCACCGAGAAGTGGGTTCTGTGCCTGTACCACCTCGCTCCTTTGTCAACAAACGCACTGCCTTTCATCTTGGATATGACCCCTCCATTCGGAGCATCACCATTGATGAAGTCGCGATTAAATTTGGCTTACCAGATCTACGACCAGCCATAGCTGATTTCCTTCAACGTGAGGCGACTTATGGACACCAGCATGTTCATTCAATAAGCGGCCCTAGAAGGGCTGGATCTACTGCTGTCTCCCATTTGACAAAGTACAAGTCTGGTTCAAAATTCGCTTGCAGGAGATGGACTTCCACGACACTCACACAATCAAACCAGCTCAGACGCTAAATTCTGTACCACCAAACAACCCGTGGATTCTAGGCCGTTATGATACAGTCATTGTTGAGACCAGTGCAGGCTACCCATGGCCTAGTAGTCGTCTTTCGGGTACTTTCTGTCTTGCGTTACAATAAATGTATGTTCACTCACTGTTACAGGTCATACAATCGCGCAGATAAGACTCATTATGCGACCCATTGGCAAGAGTGGTGTACAATGGTCCTGGAAGGATCAGTTCCTCACATATGTCCAACATTTTGATCTTTCAAATGATCGTGATCCAGCCACACGGCTTTACGCCCTGAAGCGAGCGAAGCGCTTGAATGGAAACCGGATGGGCGACATCATTCCGGTATCTCAATTGAGGGCTCCTGTTCAACTGGTCCCTCGCTTTGGCGCTACTGCTGACAAGCGTCTCTCGGCCTATAACAGTTTAGAGCATGCTGCTGAGTTTTGGCTGAATGAATTTTGGGATAAAAGCACCTTCTTTGCGCTATCAGCCTGAGATTTGATACAAGATAGGGTCATTTTTGTAGTAGACATGCCAAATGGATCAAAGATTATTCTCGTACCTGTATCCACGCATTCATACTAGCGCTCCCTCATGCCACTCGGTAAACATTTCTGTTCAGTGGGCCTCGGGATGAAGCTGGCATCTTTGATGTCAGCTCCTGAGGTTCACGACGTAACAACAATGGATAGACTCACCAGCTCAGAACTTATTCACTTGATTTTGCAGGAATCTTCACCTGCCAACAGTGACGAGCTCGGCCATGTATTATCGCTAATTTTCAAGTCCTGTACGACTGAAGTTCCCAAAGCAAAGGATCTCAAAGTTCTGTTGAAGAAAATCCACCCTGATACCAGGATCAAAGCATTTCAGCACATTGAAGATGAAGCAACCCTCGTACCACTCTATGACACGCGCGCATGCCGTTGGAACTGGCCACTCCCAGAGTCACATTTGGACAAACTCGCTACCAGTGGGGAGAGAAGTAGTAATCAGGCAGGAGAGAACAGTAGCACGGACCAGGGAGAGAGGGAAGGAGAAAATAGTGGTGCTACGAATCAGAGGTCGGGAGATTGGGTTATTGTCGATGACACTGACGCACCCGCTGGGTCTGAGTCACAGGTTGAGAGTGTTGGCCAGCCTGAGGACGACGTAATGTCAACAAATGCCAGCTCTGCCAGTAGTGACAAAGCCCCAGTGCTCCATGAAATCGACCGCGATTCTACAAAACCATGGATGACCGAACAGGTTTTTGCGTCCTTCAATAACCTCCTTACCTTTGCCCTCCTCCTGCAGAAGCCTGCACTCGCTCAGAAGCGTAACTTATCTCGTATCTGGAGCGCATCGAACTCCTCATCTGCAATACATGGTGATGAAATCGCACACAAACCAGACCTCACCCTACTCGATGATATCGAGGCTAGATGGGATACAATCAAGGCCGTATGTGAGCTGACTTCAAGTGCCTACTTACCTTCACATCCCCTTGCCAAAACTCTCGACACCAAGGCTTACCTGCTTCTCAAACACCAACCGTGGAGACGCTTCGCACTGTTGGTCTCCATTTGCAATGGGTATCACGAGCTTCGCGTCCATCTATATGACCACTCGGGCGGAGTTGTCAGCCCTTGCACGCATATTGATCAAGAGCCGGACAAGTACTTACGGATATTTTCATCCATTGTCTTCGGCAATCTCGAGTGTATTGGACTCGACCCCACGATCACTATCTTAAGACACACACTTCATCGCACGCTTCGATCCCCTGATTTCCGTGTTGCCAAACCCTCACCTTCTCCTCACCAGACTGCTGAAGTGATCCCAGATGCGCTGATCATGGAGAGTGAGACCACCGAGATCGAAGAGATCGTGAGCGAGCTCCCACATACCATAGAGGATGCAGTGCCCAACCCCGCAGCCAACATCCCTCCAAACCTGGTTCCCCTCATAGATGAAGTCCCTAGCGATTCTTTGAGTGAACCCCTCCCAGAGCCGATAGGAAAGATACAAGTAAATGAGAATACGTACAATATCCTGGATCTAATATTCTCCACTCAAGGCCTTGTTGGTCGTGGCACAGTGTGCTATCTGGCGAGGAAGGATGAGGAAGAGTATATCGTCAAGGATCACTGGGTCCTCGGGAGTAAATCAGAGGTCCTGAATGAAATTCGTATGATGGAGAAGATGGATGGGATTCGTGGTGTTCCTCGCCTTGTTGAATATTGGCTTGTGGAGATGGAACCCGGCGAGGTTGACGAAACAGTGAAGTATCGTCAAAAGGTCCCATGCAGCATAAAGGGCACCTCCCGTATGCATGTTTGCCTGGTCTTGAAGCCCCGCACGCGACCCTTGTATGAATTCCATTCGCGCGCAGAGTTCTTGACCTCGATATTGGATATTATAAAGAGTAAGTGATTTTGATCGTATGTACCTAACCATTGCACTCACAAAATATTCAGTTCAGAAGCAAGCAGTAGAGCAGAACCGGGTTCTTCATCGTGATTGTAGTTTGAATAATGCAATGATTGAAGACGACGGTGATGGCACCCATGGGATGTTGATAGATTGGGAGTTTGCTGTAGAAATTGTACGAGGCAATCAGTATGGTGTTGGGGGCACAGTTAGTGTTTTGATTCGTTTCTAATATGAATTTAAATCAATATCATTTTACAACCTCAGGGCACAGTACCTTTCATGTCGCAGTCCCTTCTCTTCCAGCTTTATGTACCTCCACACACCGGATCCATCCGATGAGCGCTTGGGTACACGCGCCTCAGGATCAAAACCATACCCACCCCCCATGGTCACGCATGTCTATCAGGATGATCTCGAATCGATGTTTTACGTTTTCATCTGGGTCTGTATCGAATTCAGGGACCCTCTCGGCATGAAGCGTGTTCTCCCTACTATTCTCCCACAGTATTCATTACAGCGCGTTAAATGGATAACGCAAGAATGGTCCGCGTCCACGTACCAAAAGTGCGGGGACAGCAAGACTCAATTTTTTCATCAATCTGAACATTACACTAAGGAACTCTCCCGACAATTTGATCCCTACTTCGAATCTCTTCTTCCACTCGCGTTAGAGTGGTATGACCTTGTTAAAAACCCTGATCGGTTGCTCTTCGACAACGTAATTGATCTGCTGGGTAGACACATTGCTGCACTTCCGAAGGAGGACTCCGCTGGGCTCCTAGTCTCCAAATGGGTAATTCTCTCAGCGGCAGGTTCACTCACACCTCCCCAGAACAATGAGGAAAGTGCGTCACCACCTGTAGATGAGACGCGACAGAAGCGAGTGGTTGATCACCGGTGGATGATGGAAGCTATACCCAAGCCGAAGAGGAACAAAACTAGGGAGTAGAGTTTGATCGAATAGTAATACATACCTGACACGTTTACATATGTTGATATCCGATACAAGTATGAGTCACATGATATCCCCATTATGTACTTGATGTAAAATAAAGCATGTATCATTACTACTACCTTCGACATGCTCAGTCACACTCTCTACATGCAGGCAGCGCTCGACTCATATTTCCGAAAGAAATTACATTCAGCTTTGCAAGATTCTCTCACGTTACCTGCAAGCACCGGAGATATTCGACATGTATTTGCGATTGTCCAATTACGAGTCGAACTTTTCCGAGCCTTAAAAGTTGGTGTGTATCTCCCAGTGATTTACTCGTACTGATTGTATCACTATCTCTACTCTCAGCGTGGTCCAGGTATGCCTCCCCGTGCTAGCCAGAAGAAAACAAAGCGTAAAGCTGTGGATTCTGATGGTCAAGCAAACTCTGCAAAGAAGTCGCGTGCGGGGGCCCAGGCATCTGCGGTGTTGCAGGAGCCAATTCTTGCAGACAAACCGTCAGCTCGACGTTCTGGGCGTCCTGGGGCAGGAAAAGGAGGTAGGGCAGAGCAGCTGGAAAAAATTGGTGCTCTCTTGGATGCCCCCGCGCGGACTACTCAGCCCAAGGGCTCCACCTCCCTTGACTTAGATGTACCAACCAATCCTCTTGCACCCGAACCATCTCGTAAGGGTCGTGGCAGTCGCTCAAAGGCAAGTCTGTTTTTATTGATCTTAGATGGTAATGTTGAATACAGACAGAAACCTCCTCCGCCATATACCGTCTCGGAAACAGTGGTCGATCCTACAACTTCTAAAACAGGGAGGAAGAAAGCTACCAGTAAAGTGACGAAGAACGCTCTCACTCCTACTACTGACGCGGATGCGTCGAATACGCAACCCACCTTTTCTCACCGCCAACCTGGTGGCCGGTTTGGCTTTGCACAGTCTATCGTCCCTCCCGGCACAGAGCCCGACTTGCAAGCACTTAATAACCCCTTTGTAGCGGCCGCTAGGGAAAAACGTGCTCTGTCAGTTTCCTTGGATCCCAACAGGCGTCTTCTTCCCACTGACACCTCCAGAAACAACGATTTGGCGCAACCAGCACCTTCAAAATCCAGGTCGAGTATGCAACCTAACACTACGTTCCACAAGAACCTGGACCCTGCTCTATTGTCAGTTGGAGATGTACATTTGGGAGCTGGATATACCGGATCCGAAAGTTCAGAGGCATCTACTGACGACAACGATGATGATGGAGGTCACGCTGATGACGATGAAGAGGAGGATGAGGAAGAAGAAGAAGAAGGCGATGTCGAAGGCCAGGAGGTCAGATGGGGAGCAGCGCATGGGTGCCTTACTGCACATCCTGGTAAGTGATTCACTCTCACAATTTTGATCACACTGAGCATGAGACAGGTTTTTCAAAGGAAGTTGAGCCCTCACAACCTCGGGTCACCACTGCTCTTCCAACTGATTTCGAATTTCAACACTCACGCGATGAGGATGATAACATGGCTGATAAGAATTTAGCAGCTGGCACGTCCAGTGACGATGACAATATTCCTGATGATGTTCTACAGCTTCACCACAAGCGAAATGGACATCCCCGCCTGCCTGATCCTGCGGTCCTCGATCTTTTGCATCAGGCTGAGACCAAACCTCCCGATTCCAAGCCGAGTGATACAAATATCAAAGCTCGTAAGGTATCAGCCAATATAACAGGTGAAGGTCCTAAGGCTACGCAGCTGGGATGGTATGGTCCTCGTTGGAAGAGGTTCCTTGAGGAAACGAAGGGAGAGTGCCGTGTTCAGCATGCGATAGAAAATCTGTTCCCGACCTTCATTGACGGCTTGTCGGGAACCATCCCTGAGATCCTTACAGCTTCGCTTGTACAATGGCTCGAAAGCGGCCAACAAGTCGAAGGCAGTGAGTATTTCTTTTCCCCTCGAAACAGCTTGCTCACTCGTCTATTAGATATTTGGCCTGATTACAAGCCTGAGATGGCCAAGCTCGTGTGTCTGTGTTTTTGGTCGCATGCCTGTATCTGACGTGCTTGTTTTTATTTCAGCTGTTTGAAGATCTATCGACATGGCGCTCGGACCTCAAGAAAATCACCATCAGTATCACACCCTCTATGTATGACCTCGTCCCGCCATCTCATGTTCCCCCCCAAGAACGTGCTATGTGGGTCGAGGAACACGCTGCAAAACTACTTGAATTGTCTTTTTTTCTCCGCAATGGTGTTGATAGTCTTGGGAAAACTTGAAATGTTGCTCACCCCGTGCTCCATGAAGCTGTCATTTCATTCTTCTATACCGGGTCTTATCGTATCGCTCGCAGGAGACCTGAGGTTTTCCGTGAGCAGCTACCACTGGAGTGCTTATACTGCGGTATGTTGTGATACTTTTACTTGACAATATACTGACACTTTTCAAGTTCAATTGCGTCCTCGACGGTTTAGTCAAGAACGGTAACGGAAAGTTGTACCCGAAGTTTTCCGCCAAAGAGTACAAGTCAATCTATATCAAGATGGTTGGGCTACTAAACGATATCATTCGGGATCCTTATCACGGACCCAAGCTGGTAGAGCAGCTTCGTTCGTGGGCTGCATCCGGATGGCAAGTTTTTTTTTCGAGTTTTTCAATACTAATATATATATATTTTTCACGCAGGGCGCAGTCCTTCAAGGTTGACGGCAACAACATTTCGAAGCATCATCATCTACAGGTTCTGCTTGATTAAGTTCCTTTACTACGAGTCCTTACTTTTAGCATACCATGCATTCATGTTTTCTGCCAATTGAATACATATCATGATTGTTGTCCTATTTGTACATGTGAAGACAGTTGGGCAATTGATATGACATTGGCAAACTCTGTACGTGCGAAGACAGTTGAGCAATTGGTATGTTATTGGCAAATTCTGTACAAGACCTTCAATCTGGGTGTCTGTGAATGTCTGTACAAAAATTCCCAATGCAATGTAATACTGTAGTGAACTGTCCAGTAGGGACCAAGCTGTGGCCCTGTGACACTGTACAGCTCTGTACAGATCTGTACAGAACATTGTAGTTTACTGATGTTGTCATTTCATAGACTACTAATATATGTGTTCATACTTTGTAAATGCTATTGAAACTAAGATTCTTGTAATGCTGTCTGACTACAAGACAAGTGGATTTAATGCAGCACTGATGCTAATCTGAACTTAATGCACAAATGTTGTCACTCTATGTACGTAGCGAGGCACGACTGGAGGCAATAGAGCTAAGTCTTCGAGCAAACGGCAAGCGGAGCTTTTGCGCATCTTGCTTCTTCTCCACGACGAACAGTTCACCCCGTGCACTTCGTCGGAATAGCATTTTATTTTCCCCACCCTCCTCTCCCTTCTCATCATGCTCTCGCATGATTCTAGCGCCTCGCTGGCGACACGAAACACCATTGGCCCTGAAAGGACAACTAGCCTTAGGCCGCGAGGCGGCCCACCCGCCCTTGCAGCTCACCTTTTGCCCAACATTGAACAGGACAAAGTCCCTTCGGAGCCGGGAGGCACTGCGCGCCTTCGCCCATAATCTCTCTCTCCAAAACATTCTCCCGCTAAACTTGTACACACCATGTCGTAGTTCCGAGCATTCAAGTTTAAACTAATGTTTTCTTCATCACTGCGCAAATGAGACGCTAGAGTGAACCTCAAAGACTAACAACACTAGGTGTCACCCAACTGGCGGGTGGTTTAATTTCGTGACGCACAGTTGCCTTTTCGAGAATCGAGTGGAGTCACCCGTCATTATATAAGGTAAGACGACTTGTTCAACATCCCTAATCACCGCGAAACCAAAGTAAGTCGATTTAAACGACGAAATTCACCCAGCCAAGGTAAACATCGTAAATTAGGTCCCAGTACCAGAACCTCGCGTAGTTTGAGCGATCGCTGACTAAGCACTTCCTTTCATGATGGTTCGATTTTGTCGCCACTTCCAAAGAACAATATCAACATCAATATTGGTCCCCGACTCCACTTTAGTGGAAGAGGGTTCTGTTGCGTCAAAATGCTTAGCTTCCTGCAAACGCACCAGGGTATTTTTGAATTTTGAATATTTATATTTGGCCATCTACGCTCACAAAACGGAAGGCGCAGTCATGTGATCAAGAAAAAGTGCCATGTGGCTTGTGTCAGGTGACGATCGAACACTCGTGTAGGAATAAACTGTGGGAATACTTTGAGAGTAGGTTGAAGCGATCATTTTTCTTGGTGACTTCTTTATCTTGGCTCAAACTGTATACATTGTTGTCTTACAAATATCTGCGAATCATATCTTGTCTCAGTGTCTTCAAGTGGAGTCCAGGATTGGCGCTCGCGCCGCTACAATATGGTCCCATACCATCTGCTAGTTTCTGACTCTGTCATGCTTAGGCTTGGTTGCACAGTTAGCAGCAGCACATGCTCAGGAATGCTGCAGCTGAATTCAATAAGGCCGACTTAAGCCCTCCCATTGTGTGAATGTGGGAACTGAATATTGTAATTGTGTGTCATCTAGATGAATTTACCTTCTGGCTAACTAGTAGATGCGGCAGCCCGCAGCCCGAAATTTACGCATTTACACATTTACCAAGTTTACCGCCTTTACCTGTGAGTCCTGCACTTAGCTCTCACTTAGCTCACCCAAATCTTCACTTAGCTGCACTTAGCTCGTGGAACAGCCTCTGCTGCCACCTTATTCACCACCTGTTCAGCAACAGCAGTTGAACCTTGCTACATGGTCCATTCATCATGACCCTCTGATTGAACAGGTGTGCGCTCCTCAGGCAAGTTAATCCATGGAGGTGACTACAATGCAGTACATTTTTTTTTGCATACAACTACTGGCGGCTCTGAAATCATATCTAGGGAGGACTTTTGGGGTGCGGCAGTCAGGTCAGCCATGCGTTACTTGCAAATGATCCTCAGTGACTTGCTGATGTGAGTCATGACACCAGTGGCGCCTGCACAGCTTCCAGGCATGCTCAAGAATGCAACAAATGTTGAACAGAAGGCGCATCTACTAGGGGTGATCAATGGCATCTGGTGAGACAAAAACCTAAGTGCAGGGCACGAAACCTGAACTAATGTTCATCATAGTACAGGGCACGAAACCTGAACTAACGTTCATCATAGTACAGGGCACGAAACCTGAACTAACGTTCATCGTCGTACAGGGTGCGAAACCTGAACTAACGTTCATCGTTGTACAGGGTGCGAAACCTGAACTAACGTTCATCGTCGTACAGGGCACAAAACCTGAACTGACGTTCATGTCGTACAGGGCACAAAACCTGAACTGACGTTCATCGTCGTACAGGGTGCAAAACCTGAACTGACGTTCAAGACACCATGTCCGATTCTTCCCGAAGAACAGGTATGTCACCTGGCTATTACCTTGCTGTATCCGGTGTGGCTGTGGCCACCCCTAAACCGCATTGCATATAACCTCCAGTGGCTTCAAATCGACTTTCTTCTCACTACTGTCACCATGGGTATAACTGAGTTATGGAAGGTTAGTTTTTGTGATCTTCTCTGTGTCATTGGACTTACGCTTAGCCTTGCAGTTAGTTTCCCCAAGTACACAGGGGCAAACCTTGACAGCATTCGCCCTCGAAGGGCTCAAGGGGCATGTGCAGGATGAAGGTGGCCTTTCAATGATGACAATCGGTGTTGATGCCAGGTGCGTGGGCTGAGTGTGAGCTGTACCATCCAGCTAATCCTTCACAACTAGTGCTTGGCTTTATGCCGTCTGCAAACTGCAGGCCTTTCGACTCGGACATGCCCAGTCAGGCGAAAACCCAGAACTACGAACACTCATGTACAAGCTTGTCACCCTAGCTAATGCACCTGTTCACGCCCACTTCATTTTCGATGGGGAGGACCGCCCCCCAATCAAGCGCGGCAAGCATGTGCGGTCAGCACCCCACTGGCTGACACGAAGCTTACAGGAACTCTTACAAATATTTGGATTCACATGGACCATGGTGAGGGCACCTTTTTGTTGTGTTGCAGCAATAGGTTGACTGTTGTGGGCAGGCCAAAGGCGAGGCTGAAGCAGACTTAGCATTTTTGTCGAAAGCAGGGAAGATCAGTGCAGTATTGACGGAAGACAGTGATGCCCTGTTATTTGGTGCGGCAAAAGTTTTATGCCTGTGAGTCTATCTAGTGTAATATTTGTCCAGTGTTCTAACCATGCTACTTGATTAGCACAGACAATGATGACGGTACATTCCTTGTGGATGCCTACTGTGCTGAAGCCCTATCAAACAACCCAAAAATTCCCTTGACAACTTCCCATCTCCTCCTTTGGGCCATGCTCCATGGAGGTGACTACAACCCAGTACGTTTTTTTTTTCCATACAACTACTGGCAGCTCTAAAATCATATCTAGGGAGGACTTTTGGGGTGCGGCAGTCAGGTCAGCCATGCGTTGCTTGCAGGTGACCTCAGTGACTCGCTGATGCGAGTCATGACATCTGTGGCACCTGCACAGCTTCCAGGCATGCTCAAGACTTGGCGTGATCACCTCTGCACTGTCCTGGTTGATGGTACTTTGGGGAGAAAGTATCCGGCACTCGCAGCATCCATTCCTGCAGACTTTCCCAGTGTCGAAATCATGCACCTTTACCTTCATCCAGTCACCACTTGGTCCGATGGCACCAATTCATCTTTACTTCCACAACTCAATCCCACTCAGCCTAATATTGGACGTCTTGCTGCATTCTGCAAAGCTTGCCTTGGCTGGATGCGACCAAAAATTCACAAGTATCTCAGGCACCATTTTTGGTCCGCTGCATGCATGCGGGCACTGTGCCAGGTGGGCCTTCTCTACCTCACTGTTGTCAGTGCTAACTCATAGCTTCAAGCTGCGGACAAATGATGGGGACACGCTCCCAAAGCCCACATTCAATGTCAACAAACGAAAGGATCCTGAGGGGGGCGTATCAGTATACTGTGTCACGCTATATGTGCCGTCTTTCGTTCATGCTACTGATGATGGTATTCAAGCTGACGATGATCCAAATCCTGAAGAGGGCAAGTCCTGGGTGCCGTCACACAGCAAAGTCACCATTCCTGCTCGCATCATGGAGCTCACCTCACCTCAAGATGTTATCGACTACTCTGATCAATATGCCGCTTCGGCAGGACCTTCTTCAGGAGATCCGCTGCCTGACTGGCATCCCCATATATCAGCACAGTATGCTGCTGTGGCAGATATCCTATGGCCTGAGGTTGGGGACATGAGTAGCGAGGTTGGGGATCCAGGGCTGAGTGGAGGAAGTCGACTGAAAGTGTGCACTGATGGGGAGGGGCAGGAAGTTATTGACCTTACTGTAGATTGATTTTGTTCTGAGACACATCAACATAGTACACGGCTCTGGTCCCATTGATGGACCGAGCAATTAATGACATGAAAATTCTGCTGTGAATGACAAGTGTGGCGCGGCTGAAGTTAAAATGAGGGAATGGACCCCTTTGCACTCTCTTGACAACACTACACTAGTACAACATAACGTCAGTCATGGGAAGAACCAAAAAAACTTCCAATAAGGTCCTAGTCCACCCCAGCGAAGCAAGTCCCAAGAAACGGAGGAAAGGAGCACAGCCTACAGGAAACACGACCTTGCCGGTCATTGACAAGATAAAGGAAAGGGAAAAACAGCAACATAAGCATGCAAACAGCACGCGGAAGAATTATGGCTCATACATCGACCGTGGACAGAAATGGCTGAAGGTGCACGCCTCCGCTACTGGCTGTGGAGATGAAGAATCACACAATGATGATGCTTACAAGGATCCAACATTCAGAGATGCACTCAAGCAGATACCTAACCAACATTCAGATAAAGCACTCGCACTCTTCATGAAAACAATGGCCAAAGTACATGTGACGGTATTTACGCAGTGTTCAAAAAGTACTGGGAGGAAGTGTGAGTACCAGTGTAGCACCTCTACAGTGACCCATTTAACACTCACTATCATATGACAGAGCTGGTGATACATATCGTGGAAAATGGAGTTACAATGAGATACGGAGACGCTGGGAAGGGAATCCTGCATGCTCGGCTGAAGTGCAGGATGTCATTAAGTCAGTCCGACACAAGACAAATAGTGAGGGCGCCGACAGAACTCACTCGATTGCAATGTCAAAAGGCTTCATGGATAGGATTCTAATGTAGGTCCACAAATGCTGGCCGAGCGAGACCTATGTGGCTCTCGTCAGAAGGTTGCTTGAAGGGGATACAACGGCTACCGATAACCTCACCTTGGAGCTGCGCACATCAATCACACGCGCTGTGATGTACCAAGCGTTCAGCACCACTGCCTGGAATCTATGGACAAGGTGTTTTGAATTGATTAAACTCAAAAAGAAAGACCTTACAATTGATCCGTCCGAAGTCAACATGGCTTTCAGGAAGTATCTATACAATGAGACACTGTCGATCAAGGACTCACATGCTCGCTTCGAAGTGTTCTTGTCAAATCGCAAAGGATGGCAGCGGAAGGTGGATAAAGGGCTGAAGGAGGCAGACTTGCGCAGTGAGTAAACATGTCATGCGGCCAGTGAAATCACTGAATCTACTCACTAGGTAACCGGTACAAAATTTATCCACAGCCAGGCATGCCTGGCTGTGATTGTTTCTTCTGGATGCTGCTGTGGCTCGCCCTTCTTGAGAGGATTCACTACAATGGTGAGCTTGGGCCGGAGGACTTTGTCTTCCCCACAATTGGCTCCAATGGCATCGTCCCAGACCCTTCAGTCATATTCAATGTAGAACCCTGGCTCCGGACATGCCAAAAGGCTGTAGAATCCATGCCAGCCAGTCACCAGCCGGTTAACGTAGAATCAGTGCTGGCCAGTCTCTCTAGAAATAGTGTTAGCTAGCATATTACAACCAGGGTGATATACATAGATCATGGGCTGGCCGGATTTTTATAATGCATTCCAGTATGAGCCTATTGACCAATCACTATACGTAGGATCAGTGCTGGCCAGTTTATACTGACATATTGCTAGCATGGCCAGCCTCACTATATGACATGTAGTATTGAGGCTGGCCAGTTCATACTCAAATATTGCTGTCATGGCCAGCCTGACTACATGACATGTAGTATTGAGGCTGGCCAGTTCATACTCAAACATTGATAGCATGGCCAGCATGAATATATATGACAGCTAGCTAGTTTATACTCGAATATTGCTAGCATGGCCAGCCTTATTATATGACATGTAGTATTGAGGCTGGCCAGTTCATACTCAAATATTGCTGTCATGGCCAGCCTGACTATATGACATGTAGTATTGAGGCTGGCCAGTTCATACTCAAATATTGCTAGCATGGCCAGCCTTACTATATGTCATGTAGTATTGAGGCTGGCCTGATTTATGGTACACCAGGCCAGCCTCCATACTACATGGTAGAGTCAGACCAGCTATGATAGCAATATTTATGTATAGACTGGCCATGCTAGCAATATTTGAGTGTATACTGGCCAGCCTCAATACTACATGTCATATAGTCAGGCTGGCCATGCCAGCAATATTTGAGTATGAACTGGCCAGCCTCAATACTACATGTCATATAGTCAGGCTGGCCATGACAGCAATATTTGAGTATGAACTGGCCAGCCTCAATACTACATGTCATGTAGTCAGGCTGGCCATGCTAGCAATATTCGAGTATAAACTAGCTAGCTGTCATATATATTCATGCTGGCCATGCTATCAATATTTGAGTATGACCTGGCCAGCCTCAATACTACATGTCATGTAGTCAGGCTGGCCATGACAGCAATATTTGAGTATGAACTGGCCAGCCTCAATACTACATGTCATATAATAAGGCTGGCCATGCTAGCAATATTCGAGTATAAACTAGCTAGCTGTCATATATATTTATGCTGGCCATGCTATCAATATTTGAGTATGAACTGGCCAGCCTTAATACTACATGTCATGTAGTCAGGCTGGCCATGACAGCAATATTTGAGTATGAACTGGCCAGCCTCAATACTACATGTCATATAGTCAGGCTGGCCATGACAGCAATATTTGAGTATGAACTGGCCAGCTTCAATACTACATGTCATATAGTAAGGCTGGCCATGATAGCACTATTCATGTATAACTGGCCAGCCTCGCTGCTACGTGTCATATAGTCAGGCTGGCCATAATATTTGACTTTATGACAAGTAGTAGTGAAGCTGGCCAGTTGGCATGAGTGAAGTCGGATGACCAGCATATTGTCTTTAATCAACTATGAAGACAATCAAAAAACATTTGACTCCTGGAAAGCTGGCTTCAAGAGTTCTATCTTTATGGCCTGGCTGACTACAGTCTACACATCATTTAGTTACTGAATTGTGATAACTGGAAGACAATCCTAAGTGATAATTAATAGCTTGTCCTTGAATTTCTCCTCAGCTTCCGTCACAAACGCTTTCCACACCAGCACCTGTCTATAAGCATAAGGTTGATGACCAGATTTCATGGCTTGATTCCACCGTTGATGCCATTTTTCTTCTTGATGTTTGAACCAACCTATCGTCCACCCTATTTCATGTTGAACCAAACTCAACTCCTCCTCCCACCTGTTCCATCTTGCCTTGGCCTTCAGCCAGTTCACTCTGTAGACTAAAAACATAATTTTTGAATTACACCAATCACATAGACCACAATGTTACTCACATTCATTCATCCAAGCATCTTTTTGACTCTTCTTTGCTCCATTAACTCTCCAAAACCAAGCGAGTTTGTCTGACCCCTGGCCAAATCTATTCTCTTCTGTTACCTCCTTGTCAATGTTGAGCTGTTCTGGTAAGATTTCTTGATAAATATTTTCTAGAGAATCTTGGTCCATGCCCAGTCTCTCCATAGCCAATCTTGCCCTTTGATAACTCCGAACATATTTCTCGATTTTGATGTGGCAACGTCGAGCTTCTTGCTTGGACCTTGTCCCAGTCCACACAGAATTAGCACTTCGAAAGTGTTGTCTGTAGATGACGGCCTTATGACCAAGAGCCAACCGAATCCTTTCAAGGCAATCATTGGCTTGACCTTTTCTCAGCTCCAGTTCCTCTGCCTGCAGGGCTAATAAATGAACCGAAAAAACCTGATCATGAGGAACTGATGATGGCATCCAGAGGCCCATATCTTCAGCTGGAATTTCATCATCCACCAATTCTGAATCATCTTCAAGGTTGACAGGATGAATCTCCCAGTCTTGCTCTTCATCGTCTGCCTTGCAAAATCTAGGATCATCTGTGTGCACTATACCTGCTTCCAGCTCGATTCCCTCTGTCATAGCATCAGCTGTTTCATGGAATTTGGTAATACGAGCTGATAGTTTCTGTCGTTTCTCTTGAAGAGCAACCTTCTGAGCAGCAGTGGCATCAGATGGGAGTTGACGAATATCTGATCTTAACCCATCCCTACAATGAATGTGGTCATGCTGTCAGGCTTAAATAAAATTTGACGTACTGGGCATCCTCAAGGTTGATACCTTGAATGATCCAAGAGACTGTTCCTAACCTTCCTGTTTCAGCATTCTCTGCTTCGGTTAATCTTAGTCGAATTTCAGCCATTGTAGGGGCTCCAGAATTCCAATGACAAACTGGGGTTAGCCTTGATTTGCCATGGAAAAATAGTAGGGATGATTACCTTGATCAATCTTGAGCTGATAAATGTCAAGACATTCACCTCGCTCCTCCATTGCCTTCTTCTCATCATTTTCCCATTCAGCAATTTTTTGTTTATCTAATGCACTTGTCAGCTCATCGAAAGGAAGCTTTGTATCTCTTATCCCCTTGATGGCTCGTTGGTGCTTCTTCAAGAGTGTCTTAACTGTGCTATCATGATTAATTACTTCTGTAATGAGAAAATGAACACCTACCAAGTCCAACTAGTTTCTTCCAATTTGAGTCCCGCATGTGATCATCCAAAATTTCCTGCCGATGACATTTACTCATGGATCGAGCAGTGGGTGATATCTTGTTGAAAGATGCCCAGAGAGTCTCTAGTATTTCACCATCTACTTGGCCGGCCCCTTGAATGAAGTTGAGACTAAATCTTGCAAAACATGGAAGTTTGTGTGCGCTCAGATGAAATTTACCAACTGCTGCCAAAACTTGACTCTGTTCAGGTAGAGACAACCCTGGGCAGTTGGCTACACATTCAGCAAAATGAATGCACCACTGACATCCTACATCATAGATGATAAGGGTGGTATCAATGCCATGAGAATGCCCATTGATAGCATTGCATATTGAATAGTCAACATTCATGTGGCTAGAAACATGCATGAGCTTATTGACAGACTTCAATCTCATAATACAAATTTACCGTTCACCCTTCTGAAAGTCCACCACTGCATGAGGAACAAAACACCCATGTCGTGCATAAGCAGTGGCACCTACACCAGTTGCTCGAAGATTGCTTCTATTGGTGTTGGCTGCATTTACTGCACGATGATTACTGCAAGAGGATTTCTGTAATAAATATCTAGTTAGAACACAGAGGTGGAAATACCAGAAAAAAACATACATCCTTACTTTCCACGGCCAATGACAAATGAGCCTGGTACTCAGCCTCTGTCACCATATACCCTAGACCATCAGAGAGGGAGACATCAAGGTGAGGTTGTCTCATATTCATATGTTGAGCGGTGAAGTTGCCATCCACAACATATCTTTGCATGATCAACCAGCTGATAAATAAGGAGTTAGCACAATTTTCCCAATAACATCACAGCAGATAGATGGCCAGTGGCCCCATACATCCAGTCTACATAAACCAGCCAGCTGGTTGATATATAATACCACAGCTGGCCACTGCCCCAGTAGGGCCTGTAGGAATAAGCCGGCCAGCCTGTCAATTTGCTGAAGCTTGGCTGGCCAGCACATATATGCCAGATGTAGAAGGGGTGCTGGCCAGTATGAGGGCACATATAATAACTAGCCAGCTGGTGCAAGTAATCGTACAATAGATAATCACTTGCCTTTTGTACTTGTCCTGCCAATGAAATGGCATATTTATTCCAGGCTGTGGACAGGCAGCACAAAATAGAGCTAAGTTGCCAGGTCCAGGCTTTACCAATGAATCATGTCCAAATCCAAATCGTTTTCGATTCATCAAATCTCTCCATTGATGAGACACCCTCATCAGTTCACGATATCAATCCTGACAAAATATAACTTATCAAAAAATAATCCAAGATAAGTAAGTCTTACTGGCACAGAATCTGGGAAAGCATTATTGGTAAGTCGACGAAGCTTTTGGAAGAAACTTGATGCAGATGTCTTGCATTCAAGGGCATCAATGAGAAAGTTGTCAAGAACATTGAATGTAAAGGCAGTTCGAGGTCGGGATATACTGGCTGGAAATAATCCTGCTTTGAGCAACTGCAAGTATTGTTTTGGAGATCCAGGACAATGACACCAGAGTATGTTGTGAGTGAATACTCCAGTGGAATGAATGATGGTTAGGGAAGTGGTCGTTGGAAGTGAGTCGGTGGTGGTGTGTACTCCAGTTCCCTCACCATGCTTGTCTGTAGTCTCATCTATATCCTCCCATTCTGAGGAGCCTTGAGAGCATGGACATGGCTGTCCTCCATGACCCAGGTGCCATATATAACCGAGCTGGGTGAGGGATGTGTCACAGAAGCACTTTCCGTTCCACTGTTGTATCTTATGAAAGGGTAATGACTGGTGGGCTGTAAGAATGCATGCATGGCACCATGAATGGTCACCAGAGCAAGTCAAGCACCGGAGCAATCCTTCTTCACCCTGACAAGATTCACAGAGCCCTCCATTGGCCAAATTTTACGACTCCAGGATAATATCCAGGAATAAGTCACGATAAATGAGATATTCATGAATGAAGTCGTTTTGAGTCTTGAATTAAATGTTTGACTTAGTCATGAAGATGTTTGGATTTAACCAGATGTACCTGCCTTAGTTTGTCGTCTTGGATTATCTGTATATAACATAAAATCTCCATGAACCTCTCCATCATGTTCTTGAATGTTGTCTAGTCCTTGATGATGGTGCTTAATTTTTTTCTGTGGGCTAGAGGCAGGTGAAGGCTGTTCTGACAACTCATAACAAGGATCAGCACATGATTCCACCCATGTTGGTTTTCTCCTTTTCTTCGCAATTTTTTTGTGAGAAACATACTGAACATCCAAGTCCTTCCCCTTGGATAATTGTCCTCTGTCTTGAAAAGAGAAAGTATTGGACTTTAGACGAGTTTTTTTCTTGCCAGACATGACGGTGTAATGTGCACTGCAGCCAGAGAATGCGAAATTTGGTTAACTAACACTAGTATTATTAAAAAAATTTCAAGAGTCCCAATTTGCTCCACTCTGAGATAATCATCAGATCTCCCTAGATCTCCCTTCTTACACGCTTCCTAGGTCTATGATCTGTAACACTACTTCCCAATAATTGTAACAAGTCCATCTGAACTGGAAATGCTGGCTTGGACACCCCTACACGATCATGAACCTTGTCCTTCATAAAATGTGCAACAACAAATCTTTCTCCAATTTTCCAGGGACCCACTGAGTGCTCCAAAACCTTCCCACCGATATAAGCAATGGTTCAGGGAAGAAATGATAAGGTTCATACCTTGCCCGCAATGAATGCCAATGTTCCAGGGAAGTAATCAAGTTCCGCATTGAGATCTTTAATGGAAAAAGTTGCATCATGCCCAATGCCCAAACTGGCTAGAAGGTCATAATGGGATCGGGCCCCACCAGCATCACGATGACTCAATGTAATCCAATTAGCAATAAGCTCCATTCCAGTAAAAATCGAAGGCCATTCAGACACTGGCACTGGTTTTTTAGGCTGCCTAGTGACATTTACTACCTTTGAGACCGCGGCTGAGCCTGCCTCAAATAGCTCAGGAGCAATGATAGCTGTTATGGCATTGAAGAAAAATTCAGTGCCCGAGATAGCCTTTAGCCAATGTTGAACCGATTTAGCGGAATAGGAAGCTGATGGCACTAAAGGATCTTGAAGCCTCTAAATCACCGACCATGTGAGAAATTTGATGTCAATGATGAAACCCTCAAAAATAAAATTAAGTTACCTCGCGTCTTTGCATAAAATAAGCAGGGGACATAGTGACCCGTCCTGCTCCAAATTTTCCTCCGCCCTCGGGCACCAGAAAGTTGTCTGAACGCCAGGAGTGTTTCTTGTCAATGGCTGATTCCGTGACTGGAATGGATTTCAGCAGATAATCATGAAGTTCCGTGGTAGCAGTGTTCATCAAATCCTTCATTAATTAGCTGTCACTATGGAACAATTTAAACTTAATAAGAAGAAACTTACCACATGACTACAAGATAAGATATTGGGGAGGTACCAAACCAAAATCTTGCCATGATTATCGACAATTGTAGCTGGTTCAGAAAATTTCCCTAGTACTGCCATTGGAAAATATTTGCTAAGTTTTTTCTGTTCTGTTGATGGGGCCCCATCTGGCTGGCTGTAGGAGGATTTCACCATGTCAGCATACCGATTGACATCCCATGTGACATAGTCTATCTCACAAATGTCAACATATTAAATTAGCATTGATTCTACAATGGCTTACATGGATTAGTAATTGCATGGGAAATAGTCAAGGAAGCACGACATATTTCATATTGCGTCACTAGAGCGGAGCTGTGACCTGCAGGCTCTGATTGGGACACACAAGCATTTAGTTGCAACCGGATCCTCATTCTTAATCAATGTCAATTAGCTACTTGGATCATAATTGACTGATAACCACACATACCGTGCCTTTTGCAGTAGATGAGACTGGAGGACACTATCTTTGTAGATAGGCACTGTAGAGGCTTCCTTCATAATTTTCGTTATCTCGGAACTCAGCAAGGCTCGAAGGTTCCTTGACTCTGGCTCTAATGAGGCCATGACGCAAGTCAGTCACTAAGACTACAGTGGGGAATTGGTTCAACCTGGTTTCTTGGCAGAAAATTTTAAAATTAAAATATGGTTTGAATTAGGTTTGATGAATTTGATCAAACTGCGTGAATTTAATTTAGACTCATATGGGTCACCCCCATTCAGCTATTATTGGTATTTGGTTAGCGATGCTCATTGTTTTCCGAAGGAAATATCCAAACAACACGCGTGCATTTTTTACCAAAGACGCGGAGTCCTAGTTACTGTGAAAAGTACAAGCTCTATGATGTAGTCTTCAGTGCTATATGTGAATATGTGATATACTGAGATTATTGAGGAGCAGGAATCTGATAGTGATTGCAGAACCATTTATATCATTGTAGTCTAGCCCACTTCAAAGTGCGACAGCCAAGTAGTGCATCTTGTAGAATAAGGCATGACCCGACAGGCTTGCTTCCATAACCGCTGTCGACACATCAATGTTCACCAGAACCTTCCCGATGGTAGGTCGCACACTCTTATTGTATGTTGGTCAGATGGGCGTCGCCACAGGGATCCCAAGCTTGCTCAGGCTTGCTTCTATAACCGCTGTCGACACATCAATGTTCACCAGAACCTTCCCAATGGTAGGTCGCACACTCTTATTGTATGTTGGTCAGATGGGCGTCGCTACAGGGATCCCAAGCTTACTGTAAGTATCCACTCCACAGTTCTAAACCTTCACCTATGGTTGGACTTCATGCCCTACCATTGGGAAGGTTCTGGTAAACATTGATGTAACTAGACCAGCAAGAGTTACATCAATGTTTACCAGAACCTTCCCAATGGTAGGGCGCACACTCTTATTGTATGTTGGTCAGATGGGCGTCGCCACAGGGATCCCAAGCTTACTGTAAGTATCTACACCACAGTTCTAAACCTCCACCTATGGTTGGACTTCATGTTGCCAGGTCTAGTTGTGTTGGTGCATAAAGTATATTTCCACGATCACGTGACTTTTCACAGCGGCAAAAAAACGAGTATCTGAGGTGCGCAATATTATAGCGAGAAATGCAGTACATAAGTATCCATTACTACAGTGTTCATAATACAACGAAAAATAGAAAAATAAAGAGAAGTGTACGACTTTGATGAGGGGGCCCTCCTCACCAAAGCCATACACTCTAAGAAAGTCTACATAAAGATTATGACCCTGCCGAACAATTAGATATAATTATAATCAAAGTAAAGCACTTAGCTTTGAAAGTTATATCGCGACAATGTCCTGTAAGACTCATCAGCAAGAAAATGTCTGTGGAGTCAGACGCGACTTACAATTGAATGAGAAACAGTTGCCTTACTTAACATTAAAGTAAGGAGCCGCTAACAAGAACATGCACTGGGAATGAGCAGGAGCCACTCACAAGTGGCATGCACCGCATGAAAGTCCCCCAGAATCAATAGCGGGAGCCACTCACAAGTGGCATGCACCGCATGAAAGTCCCCCAGAGTACAAATACAAAGATAATACACTAGAGAAAGAAATAGTGTTAGCGCATGGTGAACGGAACGAAAGACTTACCAGAGACTTCCAGGCGCTAGATACAAAGACAACTGTAGATATTTATATATATTAGCGCGTGGTGAACAGAACGAAAGACTTACCTGAAAGCAACCCCAGACGCTAAGTCACAACGCCAGACAGACGCAAGGTACAACACTAATATAAAACACTAGAGAGAGAAAATATTAGCGTGTGGTGAACCGAATGAAAAGACTTACTAGCGACACACCCAGACGCCAATACACATACTTGACACAAAGACTCCATAAAACTAGAGAGAGAGATCAGCGCGTGGTGAAAGGAATGAAGGACTTACCTAACGCTAAGTTCTGTAGAGAGAAACATCAGCAAACAGTATACAACGAAGAAAAAACTTACCAAGCGTGAAGGTACAACACTAATATAAAACACTAGAGAGAGAAAATGTTAGCGCATGGTGAACCAAATGAAAAGACTTACTAGTGACACACCCAGACGCCAATACACATACTTGACACAAAGACTCCAGAAAACTAGAGAGTGAGATCAGCATGTGGTGAACGGAATGAAGGACTTACCTAATGCTAAGTTCTGTAGAGAGAAACATTAGCAAACGGTATACAACAAAGAAAAAACTTACCAAGTGTGAAAGTTAGCATTATGGTAGATCCTTTGGATCCTTGCAGGCTGCAGCCCTGCAAGGACCCAAAGGGTACCATAGAATTAGCGTGTATCATAGAATAATGAGAAAGGAAAAGGTGTTTAGTAGGAAGATGGGTGGAAAGAGCAAAGTCAACAGTGCGTTTGAACTTTGAACTTTGAACCACGTGTCTATTTGGTATTGTTTGTTGTTTGGATGTGTTTGTGTCGCAAATTTGTGAACTTGCAAGTCCAGCACGTCTACCGTTTGTAGTCTCAATACTAATACTATACCATTGTTCTCACCTTGTTACCATTGTTTCTGCCTTGCGCGTTTACCCAGCAGCAGCCGGCATATCAGCATCCATGACTACGCCATGCCCCCTCGGACCAAACAAACCTGCAAGAAGTCGACTGGTGGTGATGCGCCTCGTGTCACCCTCAACCTACCTGGTGCCGTTTCGACCGTTTCAAGGGTAGAAGTGGGGACTGTGAGGATCGAGGAGGAGGAGAGAATGGATCATAACAATGTGCGTAATCAAAGTTCTTTTTCTTTAACATTTCAACTAACCGCAACTATCTACATCTACCTACAGTTCTGTCTCGTCTGTCGTGATGGATCAGTGGACGAGCACTACTTGTATATGTGCGACTCCTGTCCACGCACTATGTGCTCCCACTGCTTGCAGATCACGCCATGTCACCAGGACATTATTTCTGAAGTCGGCGTCAAATTCATGTGCATTTCATGCCATGTCCTGGCGCAATATCATGGCCGCCGCCACAAGAGTCCTTACTTCGTGAGTTTCTAACCTTTGTTTTCGTTTTATTCTTGTTGTATTGATTCAATCATACATATATCGACTACAGGGATTTTACCGCGATGGGAAGCCCGTTTTCGACACCTTCCTTCAGATCTGCGGGGCGCTCGAGTTGTCTCACCAAGCACAGGTTTTGGCCGAAACTGTGCTGTTCATCCATCTCAACCTCATCGACAACGACGCGACGAACTGGGTTTGAGTTCTTTGCTGAGTGGGCGAAGGGCGAATTTTGTATGGTTACTATCACTTCATTTTATAAACATTAATTGACTATAAATCAATAGACCCAACAGCTGATCAAGACGAACAGGAAGAGGAGGAACATGGATTACCTGAACTCATTTTGGACGATGAAGGCTATGCCCAACTTCCTTCTTGCGATGGTGTCAGACTCAAGAATCAACAAGAACTCGTACGTATGATTTTTCATGCTGCATACAGTAGGTGTCTTCGTCATGAATTTACTATATGCTTGCTGATTGGGTTTGCTTCTGTAGAAGTTTTCACAGGCAGTAGTAAGCCTGTGCCCTGGCGTACCATCACTCCTTGTCCGTCACAATATTTGGCGGCTAGTTCAGTTCCAGATAATCTTCTCATCTGTGACCCCTCTCACATGAGATCAAAGGATATCAGTGTCATCTGGAGCTATTGGGAGAGTCGGAGCGCGGCAAACAAGAGGCTTGTCTCCTTTATCAAGGCAAGACCATCGGACATGAGACGCAGTAAAAGGGACAAAGCAAGTTCTAGGAAGGTGAAACCATATGACGAAGTTACCTCTGAAGAAGAACAGCATAGTCTGGCTGAACTGGGTGCTACTTTAGCTGTAGCATCGCCAGCTAAGGTTTCACTTGACCGTCATTTTGAATTTTTAGATGCTCTCAGCACTGATAGCTCTTACCTGGAGCTCGTAGACGCAGTCAAGGATCTGGCTAACATGACGGAAAAAATTGTAAGTGTATTATTATTAATCTTGGGAATATATTGATCATCGCTCATTTACTAGCCGACACCACAAGAGGAGCTTGACTTACCTCCATGGGTTGATTGGCATTGTGGAGAGTCTTACCTTCCTGAGGATCTGCACGGGTCACAGGACATGGTGATGGTCAGCTTGGAGCTATTGACAAAAGCCCCAATCAGGTCTTCGGACTCAGCTGCCCTAGTGGTCTTGGGCCTAGGTTTGATTTTGAGAGACTGCAAACGAGTCATAGAGTATGAAGAAGACGAGGCCCTACCTGGTACCCCCTCCTACTTGGCCAGTTCAATCATGGACCTCCAATGTATGATTAAGGTGGACAGAGCAATCAGTGATGCTGCAAGCTCCATTGTAGGCCTCATTGAGTTGGCGATGAAGGCTACATCAGGTAACTTGTATGACAGTAATCAGGGGGAAATGGGGGGAGTTGGTGGTGAGGACAAGGACCAGGACCAGGAAGAGGATAAGGACGAGGATGAGGAAGAGGAAGAGGATAAGGACGAGGACGAGGAAGAGAAGGAGAAGGATCAGGACCAGGATGATGAGCAGGAGGAGGTGACAGGAGATTTGGATGTGCAGATGCAGGAGGTGGAGAAGGACGACGAGGGAGGCAAATCCAAAGGGAAGAAAAGGGTGAGAAACCAGACTTCCTCAGTGAAGACTAAGAAGGCCAGGTTTGAAGAGGAACCAATTCGTCGGTCCACCAGATCTAGGCAACCCTCTAGGAAGAATATTCTTTAGTCAAATATTTGTGTATTGTCTTCAGAGCTGTTAAATAGAGAACACATTGGTCATTATTCTCTTAGGTATCATACTTTGTCTTAATATACAAATGTTGACATGATATAGATATATCTGAAGCTGACCCGGCCAGCACGTTGGCTATGTGGCCTATAATCATGGCTGGCCAGTTAGTGTAGAAAATTATTAGCCCTGGCCGACTTGCCTATGGCCCACGTAGGGGGATGGCGGCCGGGATGTTATAAATCTACAGGTGGCATGGCCAGCATGGCTTCTACATGGGCTACAGGCCAAACAGGCCATTCAGTGTACTCTAGACTAGACTACCTTACTTAGTGTAGAAAATTATTAGACCTGGCCAACTGGTCTCTACAAGCCAAACTGGCCATTCAGTGTACTTTGGAATAAACTACCCTAGCCTCCAGTGTGTGGTGTATAGTGTTGTCTATCATTTATAATACTTGAGCTTACAAGAAAATCATTAGGGCTGGCCAACATGCCTTTGTGCCACATATAGGGATGGCGGCTAGGATGTTATAAATTTAAAGGTGACATGGCCAGCATGGGTTTTACATGGCCTACAGACAAGTCTGGCCATATAATGTACCATAGAATAGACTACCATTATGTAGTGTAGAACATTATTGTATGGCCAGACTTGTCTGTGGGCCATGTAAAACCCATGCTGGCCATGCCACCTTTAAATTTATAACCACCAGGCCACCATCCCTCTATGTAGGCCATAGACCAGTTGGCCAAGGCTAATGTACCATAGAATAGACTACCTTATCTAGTGTAGAAAATTATTAGACCTGGCTGACTGGCCTATGGCCCACGTATAGGGATGGCGGCCAGGAGGTTATAAATCTAAAGGTGGCATGGGCAAACTGGCCAGGTAAGTCTATTCTATAGTACACTGAATGGCCTGTCTGGTCTGTAGCCTATGTAAAACCCATGCTGGCCATGCCACCTTTAAATTTATAACATCCAGGCCGCCATCCCTATACGTGGGCCATAGACCAGTCGGCCAAGGCTAATAATGTACTACACAAAATGGCCAGCCATGGGTGTAGGCCACATAGCCACCGTGCTGGCTGGGCCAGCTTCTCACATCCTGGCTACCATCCCTCTATGTGGGCAATAGGCACATTGGCCAGGCCCAATACTTTTTTATACACCATACACTGGCCGACATTGCTCCACATGGCCCACCGACAAGCTGGCCAGATCACCCTAAGTTATTTGCAGTAGCATATATTAGTAGTCTAGGTATATGACTAGTCCTTAAGTCCTGGCCATTACCCTTCTATGTCACCTCAGGACATACAGGCCGAGCATTTTCTATAGTCATAACTAGATATATAGATTACACAATAAGCTCATCCTGTACTAATATACTATACAATCTGGCCAGCACAGGTTCTGCATATCATACAGTGATTGCAATATGCTTGTCAATGCTATTACTAGAATTCCTAGACAGACTGGCCAGCACTGATTCTATGTCTACCGGCCAGTGACTGGCTGGCATGGATTCTACAGCCTTTTTGCATGTCCGGAGCCTGGGTTCTACGTAGTAACATGACTGAAACATGTGATCGTCCATCGTGGTGAACATATCTCGCATGATGCCGTGCAGGCTTGGATCAACGAAGCAACCGCTGGCGCAGGAATTCCACGAGGTGGAGGTGACAGTTTCACCACACACACCTACCGTCATGGTGGAGCACAGTGGCGCTGGATGTTTGCACCTGTTGGTGAGCGCTGGACATTGGCTAGGGTAAGGTGGTGGGGATCATGGGCAGAAAATGAGAATGTGAGTTGACAAGAGTCCCTCAAGCTGACAGACTTCCTGAAAATACATCAGCATGATACACTCATCCGGTACCTACTCGATGAGCTCTCGACTTACGAAAATGACCACAGCGATGCCCTTTGTCCCACACAGAATGAGGCTGATGGCTCCTTGCTTGGCGAGCACCGGCTTGTCAGGCCTGCATGCTCACAGGATCTGCAGCTCATGCAGCGGTTCATCACAGCTGATGTTGAAGATTTGCGAAGTGACGTCTGCTTCCTCACAAACACACTCATCTCCAGCAGGAATGGACCGCCCGGCTCTACTCTTGTCCATGAGCCACCAGTGCAGCACACACTCCATGGTACCTTCCTTCCTCACGAGTCCCCAACACTCATCCCACAGCAGATGATCCCTGCTCCAAGTCGCACCTTCAATCCAGTCACAAACAGCACCGGCACCACGAATTTTGGCTCTCGTCCACTCCCCGAGAAGGGCCTGGACATTCCAAACCTTCCCATGCGGCGTGCTGATGGGAGCTATGCTCCCAAGAAGGACTCCTGGAGGTACATCATCCAGCACTGGACAGAAGCCGATCCCGTACATGGCTTGCATGTGGCCCTCCGAGACTGGCCAGCCGAATGGCTCAAGGGCAAGAACAAAGCCATCTTCGGCTCGAAGTACCACCAGCATGCTCTGATTGCGCTGGAGTTCCTCGAACAGTGAGTGACCTGCCTCCAAAATAGCACCCAAAGTCACTCACCATTTGAAGGTACCAAGGAAATGAGTCAGTGTTCCTTGCTGCATATCCAGAGTACAAAGAAGGCCACACAGCCCTGCTCACTGCCGTCAAACGTGCCAAGAAGGACCGTGGAGAGATCATCCCACGCAAGTAGCAGACCATTAGGTAGATTTCGATATTATACACACTAATAATCATGGCCTCGTCTTTAGTTCATTTAAATCAATTTTGAAGATGAACACACCTTAAATTTTCACCAAGAGAGTGAGGGACGAAACGAAACAACGTCGAGAGAGCGAGGGACCGAAACACAGTCAATTTGCCATGGAGGGAGTGGAAGGGAGAGAGTGAGAGTGAGGAACAAAACGGAAAGAAGGGAAGAGACAGTTCGAACATTTTGAAGGGAAGAAGAGAAGCAATCAAAATGAATTGGTATTATACTGGAGATACTGGCCTATCACCCACTCGACTACTAACTACCAAAACGAGGCGGCCTCGAGGCACCGAGAAGGGAAAGGGGAGAATCCGAAACTCATGTGCGCGCGCCAAAACAGGACGAGGTTTTCACGTCACGTGACGACCTCGCCCGATATGGTGCGCCCAGGCATAAATTTCGCGAGCTAAGTACATGCATTGCGTCGAAACCCCCTCTGTCCTAATGTTATACTTTTTCAAGCTTCATGGTCAAATTCTACGGATATATTGTGGCAGAGGAGTGGTTGCTCCAGCGAGGCATTGAGATGGGTCATCCGCCCCCCAAGACGTACAGCGACTTGACGGATATCATTGTCATGGCTGCGGGAGATGTTAGGTTAGAGACAGGTGTTTACCGTTACACCAAACTTCGTGATGTGCAGAATCGCAAGGGGAAAACCTTGTGGTGCATCGCCTTCGCCTCTTCCGATCCTTGGGAGGGCTTACCAACCAGCGCACCCCCCGAGTCAAAATCCAACGCTTTGAAGGAGGCGCTGCAGAAGACTGGCCCGCCTCGCTGGTTCCGAGGTGCTTGAAACGAATGTTAGTGACCTATGCAGATCATCGGTGGAAGCGCTGGTACTTATTTCACCTGTCAAAACCATATAGTTGTTTCATTGCATTGGCTGCCACATCCATTCATGCCCTCAAATCCCGAGTTGTTGGGCTGTGGTAGCCTACTTTCTTGCCGCTATTCATGTGTTGGCCTGAGGAAGGAAGATCCCAGGACGGCGAGGATCATCCATTACCAGTAGTTCCCCCCTCCCCCTCTTTTTTGTTGCACAGAGTAGTCCTTTGGTATGTCAGATACATGTCGTTATCGTGTCAATCAATCAAATTGATGATCATGAGTACTTGAGTGACGGATTCTTACTCTAGGATACCAATAGTCAATGTACAGCTGTAACTATTGTATTAAAGGAGATTTTCAACTGAAGATGACTGCGGGGTTAAACTTCAGCGTTGACACAGTCGCGCGAACATGCCCCTCGGAAATAAATGAGAAATGATGATGGAGCCTTTCTTGAATGTATGGCCAAGTATCCTGGTCTGCGAAAGCGGGTAGCACATCACTGCGTATGCCTCAGTCGAGTTCAGCTCGTGTCTTCCCTTGGACTTCCAGAAAGAGTATTATGACGATCAATGTTGAGTGTTGCCGGGGAACGACAACTCGGACCTTGATGTCAGTTGGTTTGGGACCGACAAAGTCACAGAAATGATCCGGAAGTAGTAGTTCAAGCATGACATTTTTGAGGTCGAAACACATCGAAACTTTGAGAGCACTACTACACATAGATCCATTGGTGTCAACGTTTACTTGGAAAAGAGAGATAAACCTCAAACGACATCCTATCGTGAAATGTAGCCATGGTGGCTCGACAGTCACTGAATACCGAATATTGGGTTTGGAGGGTTCAATCTGATTTAGCGACATGCGAAACTGCAGCAACGATTCAGAACTTTGACACCTTGGGTGAATAATCCAGTGACTCACCAAGCCTCACCGCAGTCATATTGCGTGGAAGTTCGTAGCTTCTTTGTTTTGACGGGAGAACACTTGGCTCATTCAGATTGAAGTGACTCAGTCGCTCTTTACCGAAAGTCATTGACGCGGGATCCAAAATTTTGCTTGCAAAGGGGTTACAAGATTGTAGTACGATATAACGATGAGTCCGTGAATTGAATCGATCGTTACATCCATCGATCCACATACACTGTTCAGCTGTTTTTCGCGAGCGCTAGTCCATGATCTACCTTTCTTGGTGACACACATACCCACAGTTAGTGTACGGTCAATTTGGAACTGTCCGAAATTCACAGGGTAAATTTACAGTGCGCCCAGAGGCCTTCAAATTCACCACTGTGAATTACCGTAAATTAACATGTCTGTAAATTAACGCTATTTTACAGGTGAATCAGGTCAAATGTACCGTGAATTACAGTGAATTAGGTGAGTTAGTCAACTTTCCACTCGTCCCAAGCAGAAGGGTCAGGGACGGACGGAGACAAGGTTTTTGCGGCCTTCTTTGTTGGTGCGGAACCCGACTGTAAAGGTTGTTTTCCGACTGAATCAAGTAGTTCATGTAGGTAGGGTGCACCAAATCAATACCGCTGGATGCCGCAAGCACAAACGAATCTTTCTCCGCTGTCCTAAACTCTGAAAGAGCAGCTGGAGCATCCAACCAATCTGCGCCATCGTCAAACTCTTCTGCCAGTGAGTCCAAGTCCGAGTCCACTGTCCTTGCTTCAGGTGGAGGAGGCATTTGACCAGCAGGAGGCAAATCTTCAGCGGACCGCTTGCCAAGGATAGTGGATTCCATATCACGCCACTTGACGAGAGGTTTGTATGGTGTTTTTAGTTTCTGTGTAGTCATTATGAGACTGAGAACTAAACATGCGAAAAAATGTTACTCACATTAGAATCAAAGGAATGGTTTCGGGGAGATTTTGAACATAAAGAGATAGTAACTGTAGCTTATTTCTCATTTCACAATTCATGGTTGCGAATGTTTTCCATTTAATGGCCTAGCCTAGCCAGTGTAGATATTTTGCGAGATTCACAGATTCACCACCACGAAGACGCCCGATTGGCAAACTCCAAATTCACCCAAATTTACACCCCCAAAATGCCCTTCGAGATTCACATGCTGATTAACGCTAATTTACAGGTGTAAATTTACGCCTGTAAATTTACACCCCTCTATTTGACCGTACACTACCCACAGTGTTTGGTTTTGATATCCGAGTCATAATCCGAAACTCGAGTCACACTTTAGATCAAGATATCACTTCAAAAGAATCGCTTTCATCGCGACAGGGCTACTCATACAGACCACACTATTGCTGAAGTCGAGATACTAGGATGTCATTCCCAAAACAAGACAGTGCGTAGCTTGGTGACTACATCCGTGCATTATGTTGCTTATCAGTGTCTTTCGGACTAGTAACCCAACCATTCAACTTTCCAAAGGAGGAGGAGAAAGTCATCGCTTACTGGCGCAAGATAGATGCTTTCCAGACAAGTTTGAAGCTATCAGAAGGCAAGCCAGAATATGTCTTCTTCGACGGTCCTCCTTTCGCGACTGGTCTGCCTCACTATGGCCATCTTCTCACGGGTACCATCAAGGTATGTGATTCCAGTAATATCTGATCTTTATCGTTGGCCGATCCGTTAATGCCCGCTTCCTTGATCTAGGACATAGTCACTCGACATGCCCACGTAACAGGCCATCATGTCACGCGTCGATTTGGATGGGACACTCATGGTCTTTTCTGTGCTGGGGAGTGCGCACTGCGTCGGCATTATTTAGTCACCTTCACCACCTAATTGACTGGTACTATACAGTACTGCGACTCCCAACAGCCACTGATCGTTATGTAATTCACAGTACTCATAGCACAACTCGTGCTGTTCAGTTCTAGCTGCCACATACTGATTCACCATGCCCTCCTGGGCTCTCCCTGGGCGTCACAACAACATAGTAATGCGGTACAAGGCTATTTTGGGGACCTCCCTTGCATTCTCTCGCACCCATAACCCTCGCAACATCGAATATTTCTGGTACCCATTGTGGGATCAGACCCTCTCGGATTTAGTCGCGGATGTTCCCAACCTAATTGTTGCACAACAGTTTCCCATATGGATTGTCCCTGAAGATGATAACAAGGACGAGGAGGAGAACGAGGAGGAGAATGAGAACGAAGAGGAGAATGAGAACGAGGAGGAGAACGAGAATGAGAACGAGAACGAGGAGGAGGAGGAGAACGAGGAGGAGGAGGAGAACGAGAACGAGGAGGAGGAGAATGAGAACGAGGAGGAGGAGGAGGAGGACAATATATCCTTGGCATCGACCACCTTGGAAAAGGATGTGCATGGTGTCTTTGTGGATTTCGCCATCCTCAATCTGACTGCAGTGGCTCAGCCACTGCAGAAGTATCGTTACAGAGGATGGAAGATTACTGTGGCCAGCGTCGGCCTTCTCGTAGAAGTAAAAAGGTTTCCACCAGGCAGGAGTTTGACTGATGAGGAACAGAAGTCAAACATTTCAAACAAGCTTGTTTCAGCTAAGAGCGATCTGGTTGAACAAGCCACATTCCTCTTCTTGCAAGATGCAAACTTGAATTCTGTCTTAGCCATCGCAGCCACAGGTGATTGCTACATCTATATATTTGGAGTACATACCATGACCATCATGTTGCAGGTCCATATTGGAGTGGTGCTACAATTCGTCGCGGCAACATCAATTGGACTATGCACCAATTATCAGCAAAGGACCCAAGCTATCTACCACCCGGGCCACAACACAAGGACTCAGCACTGAATTGGAACAATGTTCTGCGCATTGATGTCCCGCGCTCTAGAGACCGCTTGCGCACAATATACAACACCTTAAGGGGCATGGGAGTGTTGCAAGTACCCGCAGATGTATAATCATGATGTTATTTTCAGCTTCCACGATGTCATCGCTGATGCTACTTAGTTTTCACGTTTTGTTCGGGATCACGGCCCACAAATAGAATCGTCATCAGAAGAAATGAAGATGAACCTTTTGCGACATCTGCTGTCAGGAGTTTGTATTCACGCGGGAGCTGGACGAAGTGGTCCCAAGGCTTGCAGGTTGATTTTTAGAACTTCCATCAAGGCTGCTCGGTTATATAGTTCGAGTCTTCGAGAGGTGTCGGGTTCTCTATCATCGGCATTGTCTGCTGCGTCTCTTAAAGATATTGTCCGTGCGGCGCCGATCAGAGAACATGTGAGAAGAAGATATCGTCATATATCGTTATATATCGTAATATATAGGAAAGGTTTTCGTCACATTGGAATATAAAGTGATATAAAGCAATATATGACTATGTAAAAGCACCATAATCAGCATAATCCCCAGCAAGAACTCACCGGTTTACTGATGCCGCCCGCCCGCCCGCCCCCCCGCCCCCCCGCCGCCGCCGCAGGAGAACAAAATTCACTCACTCGCGCGAACCGTGCCGATCTGATTCGTTGGTCCCATCGATGCGTGTCGTCTTCGGGTGACAGTGTCATATTGAAAGAATTATCTTGCAATTCTTGCACTCCGCGCATCCTAGTACGAAACAATGGGAAAGGTGCGTCCAGTGTATTGTCTGTGGCTGAAGTATACGCTGATGCTGTTATTAGCATGAGGGACTGGCTCGAACACCCTTACGAGGCGCTGGCTCCTCCTTTGTTCATTCAAGGTTCCTTTGCGGACCTCGACCTTACCCTCATTCCACACGGTTTAGTTGGTTTGAGAGTGGCGAAGAACTGGATTTGCGAATCTTTCTATAGATTGAACCCATCCAAGAGCCCCCAATTTCTGACGACCTTGATGAGAATCACCAGTTTGAGTTTCGCTTTCGACCGGAATGATGCTCCCACCTACATTGTTCAGGCAAAGTGTGTCACCAAAAATACATTTACCGAGCTCCTCCGACAGCCAGATAATCGCTACCTGGTGCTGGACATGTTCAATTCTTACCGAGGAGCTACTCCCAGCAGTATGTCATCGGGAATTCTGTTTCTACTGTGAGTTTACGCCTTGTGTTTATATGCACACGCTCAAAATTCCTCAGACATGTCCTGGACAACGGTTTACGTGTCAATCTATCCGTTCTATGCGACTGCATTGAGGATATCCTTGCCTCTTTCGTTATAAATCACAGAATGGATCCCATCCTGGACAAACTTCCACTGCACGGTGCTGTTCTTCCATCCGACTGGTTGATCTTGCGGCTTGCCTCCATAAGTTTTCTGTGAAAAAAGACGTCGAACCGGGTCAATAAGCTTGCTCTTGGGTGCGACAGGGAATCTAATACGGAAATTGCGCGTGGGTAGTACTATGGGTAGAACTTTTGCATGCTCCGCAGACGCAACCCAATGCTCACGAATCAGCAGGTTCTTTGTGGCTTGCCCATATTACCAATATCACACCGTTACTTCGCAATATTTTCATCTTCCGGCTGTAAGTCCAATTAATCGCCTATATAATAATAAGCTATTCATCTCTACACATCTACAGTTGCAGAACTCTCTGCCTTGGTGTGCCTGCTCCAGCTCTTCGTCATCCAACAATTTTTAATTTATTGTAACAGTCGCTCACAACACACGATACCCTATGGTGAAGTGCAAAGTGAATACGATCGTGCTTTCGCAAGCAATGAACCTCAGCGCCCTGCATACTATCAAAAACTCGTGAACGATGTTGTTGAGCACATGGCGCTTTTGCTCGGCAGAGGAATGCCTCGCTTGGATGGCTACCTGCGAGTTATTCTCAATACCAACAAGGCTTCGAGCGGTCTTGTCAAACTTGTTCACAAAACGAGGCAATTTACTCAAACTTCGTTGATGCGACAACTGGTTTATGAAAAGACTAGTGACACTCCCCATCTTCTTTCTTCGGATATGGTTGCTGCACAGTCTATGATGAGGGCGGAGGCAGCTGCCTTCGTGCCTCGCATGCAGCGTCCCAAAGATGGTGTAGAGATTCGTCCGGCCGAGAAGGAGAACTTAAATCCGGTGCGCTCCAGGAGGCGGATAGAGAGGAAGTAAAGGAGAAAGAAGTTTCAGGGATTGTCGATTCTGAGGCCACTGATGATGTGGAAGATATGGACGAGGCGGTCACATCTCTCACATCCCTTGACCCTGTGCCAGACGAGTCCGTTCGCTCCAACGGGCCATCGGAAGAGCAGGTCTTGGCAGCTCGCACGATTCAGTATGCATATCACTATCACATTTGGCGCCGTTCAGGCTCTGCTGTAGATACAGAACTCCATGCGATATTCACGACATGCCTCAAGGAGACGCGGTCCTTTAAATGGCGTCCAAGTTATTACCGTCTTCTTTTCCTCGGACCAACATCAATATTAACATTCAATCTTCAACACTACAAATTCTGAAAATACACAAGCGACGTGAATAATGCAAGATAACAAGACAGCATGACATCTATCTAGTACATCAAATCGACAGTTTCAGACCTGGGACTGAGATGACCCTGTATCTTCGATGAGGCGTTCCTTTGTGCGTAGGTCAGGTGCCGAATACACGAAAATCACTAAAAACACACCTGTGCAAGTTTCTGCCCTTCGAATAACATAAGGAGACAGGACCGCAGGCCCTTCAAACACCATTGCCTTTCAAGCCAGGAGAGGAGGTGGCGATTCCAGCAGACCTTGAATGTACAGTTGAGCTGGTGGTCCGTTGGATTCAGAGCTCGCGAGAGATGGAAGACCCAATTTTGACATGCATACTTCAAGGCGTTTGAAGATAATTGACTTTGATCCCGTGCTTCGTTTGCGAAAATCGTGAACGCGGTCATAGTATGAATGACCTCGATGTCTGGACAATCTTGTAGGGATGCAGAGGTAGAATAATCATGGGGCCTTAACGACAGGAATGCCGGAAACATCAAGAAATCTGGTAAGCTCTTAAACTCCTGGATTACTTGAAAAGCTGGCGGGAAAGGCAATCGCGGAATGATTGCACACTCGCTGATTGTTTCCAATGTGCTCGAAAAGTCTTCCATTGTTACCCAGACAGACGCTGTAGGAGTCAGCTGCCATGCTTGACCATGGGGGGTCTGTAGCCACTCTCGTCCTCTCTCGCTCTGCAGCCACTCTCGTCCACTCTGGGTCGGCAGCCACTCTTGCCCACCTTTTGTCTGTAACCATTCTTGGCCATGTCCAGTCTGTAGTCCACCTGGGGTCCGCAGCCACTCTCGTCCGCCCAGAGTACCCGGCCATTTTTGCCCTCCTAGGGTCAGGAGCCACTCTTGCGCACTCTGCATCAGTAACCACTCTCGCCCACTCTGGGTTGAGAGCCATTCTCGCCCGTAAAAGGTGTCCAACCATGCATGCCCGATTGGAGTCTGCAGTTCATTTAGGGTCTGTAGGCGATCGTACCCACTCTGGGTCTCAAGCCACTCGATCCCACTTTGTGTCTCCAGCCACGCCATCCCGTGCTGCGTTTTCAGCCACTCCCTCGCTCTTGGTGTTTTCAGCCACTCCCTCGCACTGAGTGTCTCCAGCCACTCCCTCCCGCTGGGTGTCTCCAGCCACTCCCTCGCGCTGGGTGTCTCCAGCCACTCGCTCCCGTTGGATGTCTCCAGCCACTCCCTCGCGCTGGGTTTCTGCAGCCACTCCCTCGCGCTATGTGTCTCCAGCCACTTCCTCCCGCTGGGTTTCTGCAGCCACTCCCTCCCGCTGGGTGTCTCCAGCCACACCCTCTCGCTGGGTGTTGTCAGCCACTCCCTCCTATTGAATGTTTGCAGCCACCACCTCCCGTTGTGTATCTCCAGCCACTCCCTCCCGCTGGGTGTCTCTAGCCACTCGCTCCTGTCGAATATCTCCAGCCACTCCCTCGTGTTGGATCTCCGCAGCCACTCCCTCCCGCCATGTGTCTGCAGCCACTTCCTCCCGCTGTGTGTCTCTATCCACTCCCTCCCGCTGGGTGTCTTCAGCCACTCCCTCGCGCTTTCAGTTTGTAACCACTCTCGTCCAGGCGTGGTCTGCAACCACTCACCATGTGTTTGCAGCCATTCTTGGCCACTCAGGGTCTGTAGCCATTTTTGGCCGCTCTGAGTTTGCAGCCACTCTCGTCCTTTTTGGGTCTGCAGCCATTCTTGGCCAGTCGGGGTTTGTTGCAGCCACTCTTGTGCGGTCGGGGTCTGAAGCCACTCTTCCCCGCGTCGGCTCTGCAGCCACTCTCCTCCACTTTGAGTCTGCAGCCACTCTCCCCCTGCCTGGGTCTGCAACCATTCTTGCCCGGTCTTGGTCTGCAGCCAGCCTTGCCCGCCGATGGTCTCCAGCGAGGCTTTCCCGCTCCACGTCTCCAATGCTATATACTCGCCAGAGTCTCCAGCCACTTGTCTTCGTCTTTGAGTCCACAGCCACCCTTGCCCACTCTGCAGCCACCCTCGCCCTCTCTCTGTCTGCAACCAAGTGCGTCCCGCGTGGGTCTGCAACCAATCCCTCCCGGCCCAGGTCTGCAGCCAGTCTTGCCCCTTCTGTGTCTGCAAATAGTCTTCCCCATATTGGGTCTGCAGCCACGCACGTCCGTCCAAAGTCCCTAACCAGGACCGCAAACCCGACCCGCGAGCTCCCCGAAGCCATAACAATCCCATGAGGACCGTCAGCGGCTCTGGTGGCTCAACAATGAAGGTTAATGACTGTTGCAAATTCCGGGGGTCATGGGGTTGCATAGCCTGATTCTGCGACTTCAATTCTAGGAGCGCATCCATGAGAGTAGTGCGTGCTGGAATGTCTTGAATGATCAAGCGGAAAGACGAATAAGCGAGCAGGGAATGTGGTAGGATGGGTTGTAATCCAGGGAGGCTGCAGTTCGAGGAGTCTGAAGCATAGTCTCGAATGGACGAGTGGTAGATATTCACGGGATGGCTGCTGTCAACGGGGATTTCCATGAAAGAACGTAGCTGTTTCAGCGTGGTCGCGACATCGCTGCCTTGAACAGGACCAAGGAGCTTCGAAATCTGTGAGATTGGCAGAGGGTCTGCGAGGGCAGCAACAATGGACAAATGCTGGTATGCCCGATTGGGGTTCGAACAGGTGGAGATGATCCGTTTGTATAGCTCGTACACTTCCGTTCCAGGTAGCAGTTCATTGGTCAGCTCGAGCATTAGCTCAAGGCGATCCCGGGAGTCATTATATCCGTCATCAACGAACTTCATCATTGTAGATGCCACGATGAAACGTCTGCCAGCTCGGTTCGCCAGCCGCGTAAGTTTATCCGCAGTGGGCTGAGGGAAATCAGGATGGCGATATCGCAACTCCATGAAGGAATGCTGCAAGAATGTACAGATATCATTGTCCACATCTTCGCCGTCTAATGAAATGGTGCCAGCAACGCCCTCCCCAGAAGTGTTCACCGGGATCTCGTACACTAGCGTGCGCATATCTTCGTTTTGAATGGCTTTACAGATATGCTGCTCCAAGCGACTCGTGAGCAGAATGTGGAATACGGGAAGTTCAGGATCACGAAGAGCTTCCCCGAGGAGTGAGATCAGATCGGCGACCGTTTCAGGTTGGCATTCATCGAGGGCATCAACAACAAACACCGGAGGCGGACACTCGCGCAGCCTTAATTGCAGGTGCCAGAGAGGTCGACGAAATAACGCCATCATTTGGTCGCGAAGAGACTCGCTGGAGTCTAGAACCGCAGGAGTCTCGTGGATAGCTTTGTTCACGTCGTTCTTGACGCTGGGAAAATTGCTCGCAAGCTGGTAAGCAAGGGTCGCAAATAAATGACCGGTGGTGCTGCATTTTGTGTGCTTGCGCGAGAAAAAGAATGTTCCCGCGAGCCTTGTTTCAATTTTTGTCTCCTCTGTCATTTTCAGACCTTTCATCCTCTCGGCCACAGTGAACGCCACGGCAGACTTTCCGACGCCCGCCGTGCCATGCATCCAAATGATCTGACTCTTCTCTCGCTTGTCCAACAATCCATAGATGAATTTGAGAAGGTCCACTCGGGTCCCTTTCAAACATTTCGGATGGGGCTGGCGTTCAGGGGAGTCATATTTAGCACCCAGGACAGCGACCTGGGACAGCTTTTCCCAAGTTCCTTCGGTCATTGCTAGAAGGTCTGTCAGTCAGGTCAGAGAGCGAGAGGTGATAAGGGAAGGAGGTATCTACATTGATCTCAGTCGCTTATCGACAGAGGTTGATGTGAGAATGTGACACAAAATGGGAGTTGGAATAGGTCAAGTTGGGGAAGCACTAGTTCAGTTCAACGATGTAATTAGAAATCACGATGGGGATGGATGTCTCAATGGGGACGACATACGGCGTTGATTGAAGAGTCAATGTCTAAGTTGTAACTTCGTTTGAAATCAAAAGGGTTTAAGTGGTGATGGTGAAACGATCAAGCAACAGAGATATCACAGGATGCTTGAGATAGAATGGATGGTTGATTGCGATTGTATTCACAGTCGATAGATGGCTCGTGGTCGCACTTTGCAGTTGAGTTGAAAAGATAAGCGGGCGCTTGTCTGGCTGCAGGTCCGACCTGGAAGGCACGAGGCTGTTGCACAGAAAGTTTAGGGTAAGTACTAACCAAAATTCGACTTGGAGAATGTCAAAGTTGAATTCCAGACCTACGCATACGCCGGTACGCGTACCATCCGGCGTCGACCATATTGGATACATGATCACATCATGAACTTTTGCTGTATCATGGTAAGTTATGTAATTGCTCAATAACTTGAACATTGCTGAGCCTAAGGCCTGAGGTGGCATTGTGGCAAACGACGGAAATATGCCAAAAATATTGTGACAGTAAATGTGTGACTCATCATATTTGTCACCACCATAAAAATGTTGTCTGCAAGTTCTTACAAGTATTGGATCTACAGTTGGACTCCAACCTCGAGTTCTCTGCTCTTGAGCGGCAGTAGTTTGACGAGACTGTATCTTGGCATCTGCTTTTTGGATCAGATAATATTTATCTATTTTGTAGTGTATAACATCTATAACCTAAAAAAGAGTACTACGTTTTGATCAATAGCCATGAACGAGTGAATTCAAGGCAGCGCCTGATGGAATCTGAAATTCATCGGTCCCACTGCTAATCATCTTGCCGCCCTTCCTCGATAGCCGCCCTTGCGCACGGACGACATCTTGCATCCGTTGCTCTGCGTCGCCGACATCATGCTTCGTAGGTTTAGTAGGACGCGAGCCACGACCTTTGGATGCACTAGATATTTTATTTTTTCCGTCAGTAATCGTCTTCGGCGCTTCACGCAGCGCGAATGCTTTTGCCAGGTGACCGATGTGAAGATGCCGAACATGGAAGATATGCTTCTCGTTCGAGGGATGGGTCGCATATGCTCTCATATGCGAAGTAAATGCTCTCCGAGCAAGTTCAGCGTTCTACAAAAAGGCGTCAACGCATGCTCAACTTCACTCCAAATCGGAATTACCTCTTTGCGCCGCAAAATCCACCGCTCGAAAGAAAGTTGCACTTCTGTCGCGCGCGCCTCGTACTCGGAGCCTTTTCCGCCAAAGCCCTTCGCCAAAACGTTTTCGATGCTTGTTCCTTCGAGAGTGATGTTGACTTTGTCGCTGTCGGAGTTTTCTCCCGTTATATCGCCCTTCATCTTCCCTCCCACCCATTTAACCCATTCAGATTCGCTGGGTGCGACGATGCTCCAAGCTTCACCGCCCTTTCCTGCACGTGCTGTCCGTCCCACTCTGTGCACATACTCGGTCGCACCGCCTTCAGTTGGCAGGTCGTATTGTATGACTGCGCGGACGAGGGGTAGGTCGAGACCACGGGATGCCACGGACGTGCAGAGGAGAATGGACGACGCGGGTGCTGGTTTTTTGGACTTTGAGGAAGGAATGGCTGAGAATCCACGTAGAGAGGCGAGACGGATTGGTGTGGGAAGGGAACCGTGAAGTCGGAAGATTGAGGCACCTGGAAGGAGCGGAGACTGTGCAGCAATTTTATTTTCTTCCTCCACTTTCTCCTCTTCGACAGATTCATCTGCCTTGCTATCTGCCCCGTCTTCGTCGGACTCTGCATGTTCAGCCTTCTCACCGTCCATCGACGAATCGCCTAGCAAGCGCCAATGAAAGTCGACGGAATCTGTGCAGCTGAGGAATACGATGATTTTCGAACCTTTTTGACTTTGTGTCTGAGCGAGCAATGAGCGGAGAAGTGCGACCAGTGCGACAAGACGCATCTTGAGGGGAACGATGACGTATTTTTGAGAGAGTTGTGATGGGGGAGTGAATTTCTCGGTGCTGGTGGTACCTGGCTCGTTGTCGTTTTTTGATGCAGGCGAATCCTCCGCCTTCTCTTTGTCGAGGCCCTTGATTATCAACGGTCGTCTTAGAGTAGTGCCTGCCAATTTCTGCACGTCTTCACGGATGGTAGCCGAACAGAGTATTGTCCGTCTCTCCCGGTCCCAGTCCCAACCCCCAACCTCAAATGTCTTACCGTCCTGAACAGCTTGGAACGCGAGTTTCCTCCTCCCGTCCAGACCCTGCACGATCCCTTTGATGGTATCTTCAAACCCAAGCTCCATCAAGCGGTCCGCTTCATCGAGAACTAACCATCGGCACTTTCCAACGTTGAACGAAGACGTATTTTGCAGGTGGTCTAGTAGGCGACCTGGAGTCGAGACAAGGATGGGCACACCTTTCCGTAGACGCGCCTTCTCGTGCGCACGAGTTGCGCCTCCACTTAGCAAACCAGAGACTAACCACCGGGTATAACGTGTAGAACTCTCCGTATTCTCCTGTTCGCCGTCTGGGCGTAGCCTAAGTGTCAATAACGCCTCCAAGACGTCGGATATTTGTTTCGCAAGTTCACGAGTGGGTGCGATGATAATTGCGAGCGTCCCTATCGAGCGGTCGATGTAAGAGTGTGTACTTAGGGGGAGAAGATCCTGGATTATGGGTAGGAGGAATGCCATGGTCTTTCCGGAGCCAGTTTGCGATTGTATAAAAACATCGCGTGCATCCGTGTCCTCGGAAGAAGGTTTCGTGAATATAGGAAGGGCAGCACGTTGAATGGATGTCGGTTTCGTGATACTCATCTTGGATTGTAGGTGAGCGACAAGGAGAGGATGAAGACCCAGGTCCGCGAATGTGGCTGAGCCGGTCAGTGGTGCATTGCTCGGTTTGGAGGGCGCTTTTTGAACAGCGGAGGGTATGGGGGCCTCAACTTGAGGGTTGTACGAGAATAGAGACGAGATTATCTGAGTCGGAGGCCTAGCTGGAAGTGCCGGACGGTCCGTTGCGGGGGCTTTGGTAGCAGGCGGGGGGATGTCAGGTCGCATCCGCTTTGCGGGACGAGGATGGTCATCATCATCGCTGCCAGGATGATGGTCAGGCTGGTCGGTCCTGCGTTTCTGGACTCGTTTAGCCTTCAACCTAGGTTATGATGATTAGCTGCATACATGAAATCAAACTTCAGCTCACCTGTCCGTCCAGCGACCAGATTTTTTTGATGCTAGCTTTTTTGGTCCTAAAGATGCATCCTCTGCGATGTTGAGGACAAGTTCATCGTCCATTTCCCCCTGCGGCGCTGATATCAATTATTGTATAAATCTCAGTCTTGATCGTTAGAACGGCGGGTTAAACAAAAATGGAATATTGTTCCCACATCTGATAACCTTTCTCAAGTCAAATTAGTCTGGACACGTCTTCCTTCACACCTTTACTACTTCGTTGCACAATGTTCGGTCGTGCTTCTCTTGCGCTCGTTTTAATTTCTATAGCCGCATTTTTCTGTGCGCAATCTGCGGATGCTGCCAAGGGCCCCAAAATCACCCATAAGGTCTACTTCGATATCAGGCATGGTGACAAGGACATAGGTCGAGGTTTGTGTTATGTTGAGACCGCCGTGTGACATACATCTGACGGGGCTCGAATGTTAAACAGTTGTCATTGGTCTTTACGGCGGAGTACGTTGCCTTACCTATTCTGGCAGATATGTGGTTGACTCATCTCCTCGCAGACCGTTCCAAAGACAGTCGAGAACTTCCGCGCACTTGCAACTGGTGTTGGCAAGGATGGTCAGGAGCTTGGCTACGGTTACAAGGGCTCCAAGTTCCACCGTGTTATCAAGAACTTCATGTGAGTTTCTTGTCCGTTGTTTTGTGGACATTCACCTGATATCCTCTTGTCAGGATCCAAGGCGGTGACTTCAGTATGTGTACCATCATTATCTCATGTGTTCTGAAGCCAACTTGATGTAATCTCACTAGCTCGTGGCGATGGCACCGGTGGAAAGGTAATTTGGGACCCGTCTCAGCATGAATGTCGCTTATGGAGGTCCTACAGTCTATTTACGGCGACCGTTTTAAGGATGAGAACTTGTAAGGTTTCGTGATCATACTCATGTCTTCGACCCTGACGTCTGCTTCAGCAAGCTCAAGCACGCCGGACCCGGCACTCTTTCCATGGCTAATGCAGGCAAGGACACTAACGGTAGGCATGTTTTCTCCCATCGTTCATGTCGTCTAACATAGTGCTCTAGGATCTCAATTCGTAAGCTTGTGATTGCTCTCAACGAGCTTTACTGAGTGGTTTTCCAGTTCATTTGCACTGTAATCACCAGCTGGTTGGACGGTAAACATGTGAGTTTGGCATCGGTTTTATCACCGCATTGCTTGAGCTCTGTCAAAACAGGTGGTCTTCGGAAAAGTCTTGGAGGGAATGGACATTGTATACGCTATTGGTTTGCATTATTTATTACCTTTAGACTCACCAAAGTTCTCACTTCTACTCAAGAGGACGTTCCCAAGGGCAGCAATGATCGTCCATTGGAGGACGTCACCATCTACGACTCTGGAGAGGTTTGTTCTTATACCTGTGTGATGTGCATCGTATTCATCCCACGTTTCTAGCTGCCAGTTGAGCCAGTGGTGGATGAGACAGGAAATCAGGTACCCCTACGCGCTGAGCTATGATTCAGCTGTCTCTGTATCACTTGAGCTCTTGATGCGAATAAAATGTTGTTGCTTGCCAACAGGACATCGCCACTGCACCCGTGAATTCCGTAACTTCGTCAGCCGATGCTGAATTGCCCGCCTCTACACCCGCCTCACCAGCATCTAACGAGAAGACAAGCCCTGTGGAGTCTACTCCCTCTTCAGTTGTGGATGCCACTCCTGAGGTTGTGGAGGATGTTTCTGGGTCGTCGGAGCGTCTGAAGTATGCTGCCATCTTATTTGTGGTAGTCGTGGTTGGAGTGGGGATGTTTGTTTGGTGTGGTGACAGACTCGGTCGTTTGAAAGGCCTTTTTCAACGTGCAGATCGTACACATTACAAACGTGTCGGGGACGAGGATTTGGAGAAGTAAGTGCAGTTGATATTGACGTTTCGAGTTGGCGGAACATACCAGGTCATGAAACTTGTGCAATGTATCATAGATATATCTTGCTTGGCTAACATAACTAGTGCTGTCGTTCCTTCGCAAGTCCGTTGTAGGGACTCTTGCTCCCAAGGTGGCATGACTTAGTGTTCGAACGTCCTTCCTTTCCTTGAAGTCTCCTCTTCGTCTACCTGCCAGTGCGCCTAGGCTACTTCATTAGTAGCATAGCAAATACTATGTGCACTGATTATTTACACGGGTATGCTGTAAATTCTATATGCGTTTCCGTGTGTTCACTGACAAGTGTCTTCGCGAAATCCAGCTGCTAATATAAAAATAGGCCCATTGTCCTAGTCAATCAAGCAAACAGTCCACGAAACAATCAAAAGTGAAGCCAAAGCAATCGCTAGTACTCATCTCTCACCTCGTCATCACATTCAAGTCTATAACCCCATCCTCACTATCGGTGCTGCAATGACACTCGTTTGGCACAAAAAGCTGTGACGGCCGGCCACGGAGTAATAACCCGCCCGATACTTCCAGAACGAATAGGAGTCCAGTAGACGTGTTGACTATAGCCTAGGAAGAAAGGCAGTGACGCCATCCGTCCCCGATATTCTCAAGTTGTGAAAGTCAAGACAGGTGATTCTGCGATCAAAGGATAACTGCCTAGCTTCAACCTGGGGAGAATTTCCTAGGTAGCCAGCACATGTATCGCGATCGCCGAGTGAAGCTTCCGATGTCTGTCCGTTGACTTGCCGTGGCGTCAAGTAGGAACACAAGCTGTGCATGTGTGGCCCACCCCTCGAAGATACTTCTAGGCCTTGTAAGTAGCATGGAAGAGCACACATACGCCGACATCGCGAGCGTGATGAGTTGGTGCTTCCTACCAAAAATATAGCGGTGCAGTGTGATATTTGCTTGGCCCGAGCTAAATGCAAATAGATTGAACATATGTTCAACCGCCGATCTTTGGGTGTGGAAGAAAGAGCTCGGACGTCGGCGAGGTGAGTCCAAGAGAGATGTTGAATGCCAGACATTGAAAATGACCGGGACTTTTGACGCGCCCATCTCGACTGCTACAGCCGCTATATGCAGACTTTGGCGATGTCGATGAACGTTTGAAACACTCAAGCTCCGAATGACGCAGCACAAATTTGGAAATTGAGATCACTCGGATCCTCACGTCTTTTCAAGTTACACAGTATCGAGTGTTCAAGTTAATTCAAAAGCGCTTTATTGCCCATGAAGCAGGGCGTACTACTACTCCAGGAACAACAACCACATCCACCAAGTCAGCAACGAGCTACATATTGTGCCGTCAGCCACAACACCAATCAGCAAGCGGAAACACGACTCACTCTCCAGATGTGCTCATGAACAGACTGCCAGCTCGTCGATGAGCAGCCTAGTAATTGCAAAACTTGGAATGACCTTGAGGCTATTAACATTGCAAGGTGCATAGGGTGAGCAGTGGGGTTGAATCATTGATGCAAAGCAAACCACTCATACTCACCGGATGTAAATTACACTTAAAGTCACCGCAGCAATCACTGTCAGTACCGCAGGTCCCAAATTGGGGACTGCATCTGGCAGTGACAGTCATGCATGCTGCCAAAGCACTGGTAATGACGACGACGAAGGACAAATGCATGATTTATGCGAAGTTATAAAAGCTTTGCAAGAGGGACTCTGAATTACTGAGGTGGACAGTGCTTACCTTTATATCCTGAAAATAGGGTTATGAGCAAAACTTGTAAGTTGGTTTGGCAGATCGGTTATGGCAGAACTTCACGGCAAAAGATTTAGAAGAACCTAACGGAGTCCCAGAACGAACGGATAAACAATCCAGAATTCAAACATAAGGGACACAACCCAAGCGACGGAATTGGCAAGGCTCTTTCGTGACCACTACGCCGGAAGGCCCAGAAAGGTCAGATTTTCAGATAGCAACTCGGAAGGTTGCTACAAAATCGAATGAGTAGCGACAGAATGAAGCTGAAGGAACATTATTCAGTGTCTCCCATACATTCTCATTCTAAAGATCACGGCAGAAATGGTTAACAAGAATTTCATATCCACCGCTATCCGGGCATATGGGAGATCCCCGTTGTCACGGTATAAGCACGAGCCCAAGACCCTTGCCCCTTTTCGTGCGGCCTGGATTGTTGTAAAACACTTTTGCGAACGCTGAACAGATCAATCGATTCAATGGGACTGTTTTGAGGCTTTCTAATACGAGCTCCATGATTCGGACGTTGTTATCTTGTTTCGCCTAGTTTCCGCATGCGTTAACTTTGCTATCGTGGGCGGCTTGCCTCTGGGCGCCATGTCGCCAAATATACGGGTGCGCTAACCTGTGAATAACATCTGCATCCGACCACTCCTCATCATGTCTACAGTACTCATCTTCTGCGGGAGCTTTTGACTATAACGGCCTTCTGACATTTTGCCCAGGTGTTGCAGATGTTTGTACTGGAACCGCGTCTGATCCTCAGTGTTCGAGAATATAATGCTAAGATTATCGTGGTCAAGTCTGACAAGAGAACATGTGTGACATCCATTGCTTTCCAGGGTGGTGAAGTTCACTGACGGAGACACGTCGACTGGTGGATAGCCTATGCATAGCACGTAAAGCGATCCAAACCAGTCACAGTACTGTGTGGGGAGCACGCAGATCAATAATTTTGTTGAGTTGGTGTTCCGAAGTGATCTGGAAAATAGGATTTGGCCAGGACATGATAAATGACTCCGATGTTGCATTGGCTCTGCAGGCTGCTAACGAATGTTGTATTACATAAACTATCAGAATTGTGTCTCCGAGGAGTCCAGGCCCGGGACACCGCCCTAAGGCTACTAAGATCAATTTCTCAGACTGTCGGCATATGAGTTAGTACTGCATATCTCTTTTGCCTGTATTTGGGTAGATTGTGATCAATCCAAACGTAGACTCTATGTCGTAGTACACCAACCTCCACGGACCTCATACTCTCTCAGACATCTCCAAGCCTGAGAGTCCGATGTATAGTACAGTTAGTACTACCGAGTTAAGTAGGTAACATGACCCCCATCAGCGTATGATACATGCCCTCGCTACTACCACCATCATCTATCAGGATTCAGGCCCAGGGGAAATAAGGCCACCCTTTTCCGAGTCATATGGCTAATTTCAGACTACCCTGAGTCTCTCTTTCCTAGACGAGTTGCTCAGGCTATGTTTCTTTGTCAAACCCTCGAGATGGTATAATCGTCTACATATACATATCCTGAAGGTGTGTTGTTATCGAGTGACAGATGACGGTTATGGTGTTGATCCTACATGTCACCTTCATGGACATACTGTCATGTCAATCTAGCGCCACGGTGCAGTTGATTGGGCCTTTAGGAAGGTATGGTTCATTATCGCATGAACAAGCAGAAACACATGCCTTGGCCGCCTCTCCATGTGACGTCCCGTCGTCTATAATGCCTAACAATTATCTTGGGTCTTTGGGTGGCCCCGGTCACCATGGCAAAGCAAGATGAAAGATACGCTGAGCAGAAGAAATAGTATACGGTCACATAACTTATTGACCGCAGTGCGTGATTGTACCAAATATGTGTTCTTACTTCTTCTGAGCAGGTCGGCTGCGGTGGTGCACCGAATGAAGGGGTTAATAGTGTACGAAGCTAGAACGGAGTGAGTCTCAGCGTGATGTTAGGACAACACTGAGGTGAGACGACGTGAGGAAGCGGACTGACATCATGCGTCATACAGCCATACGAGCAAGGAGCGGGCTGTCGTCCAGCCAACAAATAGGTGTTCACAAGGGGAGAGGGCGTTGATGGGAGCTGTGGCAGCGTGGTAATACTGAGGTAAGAAAAACATCAAGTTAAGGGGGTAGAGATGATGAAAAGCGATGTTATTAATGTTGTGGGATTCAAGCTTTACAGAGCTAAAGAAGAAATCGCGGATAAGCGCCTGAGTAGGGTTATAAGGAGAAAATCTGCGCTACCCACTACACACAGGATCCACAATGCAACAATATTCCGACGACGAATACCTCTCCAATGAAGACCCTGACGGGGGTGAAGACTCGGAGGGTGAAGGCCTCGACAGGGATGATGACCCTCAATGGGGTGAACGCTCTGATGAGGGCGAAGACCCTGATGACTCGGAGGGCGAGGGTCTCAACAGGGATGACGACCCTCAATGGGATGGACGCCCTGATGAGGGTGAAGACTCTGATGACTCGGAGGGCGAAGACCTCAACAGGGATGACGACCCTCAATGGGATGGACGCCCTGATGAGGGTGAAGACTCTGATGACTCGGAGGGCGAAGACCTCGACAGGGATGAACGCCCTGATGAGAGTGAAGACCCTGATGACTCGGAGGGCGAAGACCTCGACAGGGATGATGACCCTCAATTGGGTGAAGACCCTGATGAGAGTGAAGACCTTGATGACTCAGAGGGTGAAGACCTCGACAGGGATGAACGCCCTGATGAGAGTGAAGACCCTGATGACTCGGAGGGCGAAGACCTTGACAGGGATGATGGCCCTCAATTGGGTGAACACCCCGATGAGAATGAAGACCCTGATGACTCGGAGGGTGAATACCTCGACAAGGATGACGACCCTCGATGGGGTGAACGCCTTGACTCTGAGAATGAAGACTCTGCTGGAGGGGAAGATTATTATGATGGCAAATATGCTCACCAAGTCGCTGATCAAGACCGTTACGAAGATGCTGATGAAGAAGTCCGCGGAGACAAGGTTGTTGATGAAGGCTCTGGAAGTGACGAAGACTCAGGGAGTGACGAACGCTCTAGAAGTGATGAGGGCTCTGGCGGTGGCTCTAACTTTGGTTCCAGGTCTAATGGACAACCATCACATAATGTAAGCTTTTGCTGTCAATGTGTGTACTCATTGCAACTTGAGCTAAGTATTTCGTACAGATATTCACGACCGCCTCAAACGCGCATACTGAGTGGCTGCCGACGCAAGGGAATGATAGCGAAGATGGCAACAATGATGACCCATATTCTAGACGCCACCAGTGGCAAGCACCAAACCATCCACAACCTAGTAACAAAGATGTCAACAGCGACTACAACCTCAGACGCCAACCACCAAATCACCCACAGCACAATGAAGATGTCAACGACAACAGCTCCCACCCCAGACACCAAGCACCAACCCGCCCACAGCATACTAACAAAGATGTCGGCAATGACCACCCCCACTGGCACCCCATACGCGCACTAAACCG